TCTCTCAACATCTTCCATCACTTGCGATCTTTGTTTCGAAAACACAGTTAAACCTTTGGCAACAACAGCTTCCTTGATTGCCGTTTTCTTGCCCACAATAGAAGCGATGGTTGATTTTGGTTTCTTGTACAACCTGACCAGGTCGGTGATACGTACTCCACTTTCATACTTATCAATGATCTCTTTCTTCATTTCAATGGGTATTCTTACCCTTTGAGGTGTAGGGTTGGCACTAGAAGCTTTCTTGGGGCCCATGGTCACTTATTTTCCACAAACAGCACTGAAAACACTGTAATAATACGAAATATTCCGAGTGTATGCTTGAATGTTACCGCGGAGGCTGGCTGGTAAACAATGGGACGGGCGGCACATGTGAGGCTGGCTGAGGGCACATTGGACGCGTCTCGGACGAAGGTCGCTGAGCGGGTTTTTGTCCACTATGCGGGGCAAAATTTTAGCGAACAAAGCGTTCGCTATGCGGATTGTTCGCTATGCGGATTGTTCGCTATGCAAGGCGTTCGCTATGCGGGGGTCCACTGTATTATGAAATATTTCGTAGGAGCACTTGAGGGGACCTTCACTCACTGGTAAACAATGCCAGACTGGCTGGGTAGGGAGGCCACCCTGGCTCACACTGTGCGTACACGTCCCGGACGAACTACTATTCGCGAGTCAACCTATGAAAAGCGAGTCCATGTTTATACGAAAATACCCCTATGATTGGCGAAATTTACGATTGCCGAGAACTACGAAAAGCGAGGGATCACTGTACCACCATAAAGACAGTACACTTGAACCAAAATAGTTGATATTAGTTATTAATAAAAGAAAGTGCTAAATTCATATGGGTCATATAGCACAAGTTTTGGCTGTTTGAGCTGTCCTTTATCAATAATTTTTATTATTAGAGGTGAGAGACTAAACACTTGTAAGTTATATAGTGCCTTGGAAAAGGGGAAACATTCAGGACAGATCCAAGGATGGGGAAGCTAAATCCAATTCACTGGATTACGAGCTCCTAATTTGCATATTTTTATTATTCAGAGAAGAGCACAGCTAAATTTATGTGGATCATATAGCCAATAGGGGTGTGGAGAGACATAGCAAGCAACTAGGTTTGAGTGGAGGAAAGGCAGCTCTAATTCCTTGAACCTAGAGCCCTTCACCTGCATCAAGGCACTTCTTTGAAAGGATTTAGATGCAATAACTGAATTAAGACATTAATATATTTTTTGTGTATTTTGATGGGTTTATAAATACTGTATAGGTCTAGGCATTTGCCTTAATATTTGGGCTTAGAAATATTATGTTCATAAAGAAATGCTAAACTCACAAGGGGTCATCTTCTTTCAACAACCGGCCATATCCCACCGAGGCAGGATTTACCTGGAGTTTACCTGGAGAGAGTTCCGGGGGTCAACGCCCCCGCGGCCCGGTGTGTGACCAGGTCTCATGGTTGATCAGAGCCTGATCAACCAGGCTGTTACTGCTGGCTGCATGCAATCCAATGTATGAGCCACAGCCTGGTTGGTCAGGTACTGACTTTAGGTGCTTGTCCAGTGCCTGCTTGAAGACAACCAGGGGTCTATTGGTAATCCCCCTTATGCATGCTGGGAGGCAGGTGAACAGTCTCGGGCCCCTGACACTTACTGTGTTGTCTCTTAACGTGCTAGTGACACCCCTGCTTTTCATTGGGGGGATGTTGCATCGTCTGCCAAGTCTTTTGCTTTCGTAGTGAGTGATTTTCGTGTGCAAGTTCGGTACTAGTCCCTCTAGGATTTTCCAGGTGTATATAATCATGTATCTCTCCCGCCTGCATTCCAGGGAGTACAGGTTCAGGAACTTCAAGCGCTCCCAGTAATTGAGGTGTTTTATCTCCGTTATGCGTGCCGTGAAGGTTCTCTGTACATTTTCTAGGTTAGCAATTTCACCTGCCTTGAAAGGTGCTGTTAAGTGTGCAGCAATATTCCAGCCTAGATAGAACAAGTGACCTGAAGAGTGTCATCATGGGCTTGGCCTCCCTAGTTTTGAAGGTTCTCATTATCCATCCTGTCATTTTTCTAGCAGATGCGATTGACACAATGTTATGGTCCTTGAAGGTGAGATCCTCTGACATGATCACTCCCAGGTCTTTTATTATTATTATAATCAAGGGGGAAGCGCTAAACCCGGAGGATTATACAGCGCCTGGGGGGGGATGTGGAAGGCATTCAGGCTTAATTCGGGGAACTGGAACACAGATCCAATTCCCTAAATCAAGAGCCCCTCCCAGGTCTTTGACGTTGGTTTTTTGCTCTATTTTGTGGCTGGAATTTGTTTTGTACTCTGATGAAGTTTTAATTTCCTCAAGTTTACCATATCGGAGTAATTGAAATTTCTCATCATTGAACTTTCATATTGTTTTCTGCAGCCCATTGAAAGATTTGGTTGATGTCCGCCTGGAGCCTTGCAGTGTCTGCAATGGAAGACACTGTCATGCAGATTCGGGTGTCGTCTGCAATGAAGACACGGTGCTGTGGCTTACATCTTTGTCTATGTCAGATATGAGGATGAGAATCAAGATGGGAGCGAGTACTGTGCCTTGCAAAACAGAGCTTTTCACCATAGCTGCCTCAGATTTTACTCTGTTGACTACTACTCTTTGAGTTCTGTTTGTGAGGAAATTATACTGTAGATCCATCTACCAACTTTTCCTGTTATTCCTTTAGCACGCATTTTGTGTGCTATTACGCCATGGTCACACTTGTCGAAGGCTTTTGCAAAGTCTGTATATATTACACCTGCATTCTTTTTGTCTTCTAGTGCATCTAAGACCTTGTCGTAGTGATTCAGTAGTTGGGACAGACAGGAGTGACCTGCTCTAAACCCATGTTGCCCTGGGTTGTGTAATTGATGGGTATCTAAATGGGTGGCGATCTTGCTTCTTAGGACCCTTTCAAAGATTTTTATGATATGGGATGTTAGTGCTATCGGTCTGTAGTTCTTTGCTATTGCTTTACTGCCCCCTTTGTGGAGTGGGGCTATGTCTGTTATTTTTAGTAACTGTGGGACGACCCCCGTGTCCATGCTCCCTCTCTATAGGATGGTAAAAGCACGCGATAGGGGCTTCTTGCAGTTTTTGATGAACACGGAGTTCCATGAGTCTGGCCCTGGGGCAGAGTGCATGGGCACGTCATTTATCACCTGTTCGAAGTCATTTGGCATCAGGATAACATCAGATAGGCTAGTTTACCAAATTCTGTGGCTCTCTCATAAAAAAATTCATTTAGATCTTCGACTCTCAGTCTGGTTAGTGGCTTGCTAAAAGCTGAGTCATATTGGGACTTGAGTAGCTCACTCATTTCCTTGCTGTCATCTGTGTAGGACCCATCTTGTTTAAGTAGGGGCCCAATACTGGATGTTGTTTTCGACTTTGATTTGGCATAAGAAAAGAAATACTTTGGGTTTCTTTCGATTTCATTTATGGCTTTTAGTTCTTCCCGCGATTCCTGACTCCTGTAAGATTCCTTTACCTTTAGTTCGATGTTTGCTATTTCTCTGACCAGTGTCTCCCTACGCATTTCAGTGACCCAAAAAGAAAAATGTGAGTTTCTCTTTTTAACTTTAGTAATGTATACAGGAGAAGAGGTTACTAGCCCCTTGCTCCCGGCATGTTAGTCGTCTCTTACAACATGCATGGCTTACAAAAGAAGATTTCTGTTCCACTTCCCACAAGGGTCATATCCAGTTTTATTAGTAGTATTATTACATTTAAAGATGTTCAAAATTCATGGAGCAAATGTCATACATTGCCTAGGATACAGGATGTAATCAGGTTTGATCAGAGGAAGAAGAGGGGTAACTCAAATTCCTCAGACAACAAGAGCTTCAGTGGCATCAAGGCATCCCTTTTGAAAGAAATATTCTCAGACTAATAATGAACTGCCACAAAGACATAAACAGGTACTTTTCCACTGTAAGGGTTGCTTACTTTTAGAAGACCTCAGGGAAAAATAAAGAGGGAAATGTTTTACATGGATTTTGAGGTAAATGACACAATAGAGCTAAAGATGGACTGAATTGATATTACCTCATAATTAAACATTCAGTAAGAGGAGGCAAAGAGCTTGAGCTCAGTGAGTACAAAAGCAGTTAGTCAGCAGTGTGTGACAAAACCACTGGAAACTTTATACAGTGGAACCTCAAATTTCAAAATTAATCCATTCCAGGAGCTAGTCCTAAATTCGAAAAGTTTGAAAAGCGAAGCAATATTTCCTATAAGAAATAATGGAAATACAATTAATCCATTCCAGAAACCTAAAAATATTCACAAAAAATACATTTTATAGAGATTACTTATAGTTTTACATACACACAACATATATAGTGTACAATTATATATTAATAAATTTAAATAAACATATAAAATAACATTTTTACTTACCATTATTGAAGATTGGTGATGCCACCTGGAAGATAGGGAGGAGGAGAGAGGGAGTTGGGGTTAGTGTTTGGAAGGGGAATCCCCCTCCATAAGGACTTTAGGTATCAAAGCCCTCTCTGGGGTTACTTCCCTTCTCTGTCTTTTAATGCCACTGGACCAGCTTGAGAGTCACTGGAACCCCTGTCTCACAAAATAACTGTTCACAGTCCTCTGTTTCTGGCGCCTCTTTAAGATTTCCCTAAAATGGGACATGGTTCTGTCACTGAACTTGTTGCAAAGATGACTTGTTTCAGCTTGCTCAGGGTGGTACTTCTCCACAAACATTTGGACATCATTCCACTTGGCGCAAAATCTCCTTAATCTTTGAAGAAGGTGGACAGGTCCGGTACCCGGCGGTTTGAAAATAGGGGCAAGTTTGATAATAGGGAGACAGAGTTGGTTCGAAAAAAGTGGTCGATTTTCGAAGAGTTCGATAAGCGATATGTTTGAAATTTGAGGTTCCACTGTAGCTCTATTCTTGTAACTATCAACATGTAATCATATACACTGCAATGGGGCATAGGTAAATATCAACAACAAAGGTTCATCAGAAATCTGTTTATTAAGTGAAATATACTCACTGGATACAAAAAACTGCACAACACACAGCAGAAAAATAAAAAAATCTCTGGCCATCTACTCCCCAGTTTCTTCCTCAGTGGAGTTGCCCTCTGTGGGAGAGTCTGTATCAGAGTTGGACCGCAACTCCTCTTCATCAAGTCCCTGGCCTTGTGCTGCTGCAATGAGACAATCACACATTGTAAGAAGCATAATTTGGGAGTTCCAGCAACTGACACCAGGAAATAATATTTATAGTGCAGACTTTAGAATTATCAATATAATGAGGCTAATAAAAACTCTGGTTAATAAAGTAAACACCTACTTCTTTCAGCAATAGTTTTCTCAATGAGATGCGACATGATGTCTCGACATTTTGCCTCAACGCCTGCAGGTAGCCAACCAAATTTCTCTGAACAAACTTTGTTGGCTCCACTCAATATAGACTCCTCCAGGAGTTTTTGAATTTCAGGTACTTGGATGTCACAGTACTGAAAGTTAAGGAACACTTAGCACATTACCCATGGATAAGCCATTAGATTAAACATGCAGCAAAGTAGTTTGTCTGACTATCAAGTTCATATTTAAGAAAGGCTGGGGACAAACAGTATATGGTGTATAATATCAAGCACGGCTGGGGGTGAAGAAAGGCTGGGGTGAAGCAAGGCTGGGGGTGAAGCAAGGCTGGGGGTGAAGCAAGGCTGGGGTGAAGAAAGGCTGGGGGTGAAGAAAGGCCAGGGTTGAAGCAAGGCTGGGGTTGAAGAAATGCTGGCGGTGAAGCAAGACTGGGGGTGAAGAGAGGCTGGGGGTGAAGCAAGGCTGGGGTTGAAGAAAGACTGGGGGTGAAGAAAGGCTGGGGTGAAGCAAGGCTGGGGTTGAAGAAAGGCTGGGGTGAAGCAAGACTGGGGGTGAAGAGAGGCTGGGGGTGAAGCAAGGCTAGGGTTGAAGAAAGACTGGGGGTGAAGAAAGGCTGGGGTGAAGCAAGGCTGGGGTTGAAGAAATGCTGGCAGTGAAGCAAGACTGGGGTGAAGAGAGGCTGGGGGTGAAGCAAGGCTGGGGTTGAAGAAAGACTGGGGGTGAAGAAAGGCTGGGGGTGAAGCAAGGCTGGGGTTGAAGAAAGGCCAGGGGTGAAGCAAGGCTGGTGGTGAAGCAAGGCCAGGGGTGAAGCAAGGCTGGTGGTGAAGCAAGGCCAGGGGTGAAGCAAGGCTGGTGGTGAAGCAAGGCCAGGGGTGAAGCAAGGCCAGGGGTGAAGCAAGGCTGGTGGTGAAGCAAGGCTGGTGGTGAAGCAAGGCCAGGGGTGAAGCAAGGCTGGTGGTGAAGCAAGGCCAGGGGTGAAGCAAGGCCAGGGGTGAAGCAAGGCTGGTGGTGAAGCAAGGCCAGGGTTGAAGCAAGGCTGGTGGTGAAGCAAGGCTGGGGGTGAAGCAAGGCTGTGGGGCAAACAGTATGTGGTGCATAATATCAAGCAAGTCTGAGGATGAACAGTATATAGTGCATGATGTCAAGGCAGGCTGGGGGAGAAGAGCATATGGTGTATGATATGCACTACTCTAGTACTGCTGTTTCAAACTAACAACTCCTGCCTACAGGTTACTACTCTGCACAAATGTTGTAGTCTACTTGAAAGACATAAAATGCTAGCTAAATGGAGATAGCAGCTTAAGCTGAATGTGATATTTTACTCATTACAGTGGTAGATAGTATTTAAAGCCTTGAAATTTTATTTATTGCTTAACAGCTCTAGATTTACATGGCTGGAAATATCTACTGCACTATACCTGATAAAACATCTGTCGGTAAGGTGGAATCATCCCTGGTCGAAAGATGTACAGTTCTTCCAAGTTCTTGTCTACACCAGTTGCTTCTTCATTACCATCTTCACCTGTCTCACCAAAGTGAAGTGACTGGATGACAGAAGTCTGAAACAATGGTTATCAGTTGTAATTTTACAATTATGTACTATTCAATTATGAGACAAGCTTAATATGCTGTACATTTTGTGAATTTTGGGGGCACAGATGCATACAAACAAACACTGAAGGATTTGGGGAAGAAAGTAAAATACTGTCTACAAAGTAAAAGTTTAATCCTACTTAAGCATTGTTTAGAGTACCAAACCATGGATATTAAAACAATAAAAATAACTAGTAATGCCACAGAGACATATCTCTGAAGATTTTATATATAATATGGATGGGGTAATCTAAAAAAATACTAGAATAAAGCCATTATAATAAAGAAAATAAACTAGAAATTGTGTGCTTTTTTTTTTATAAATCGGCCATATCCCACCGAGGCAGGGTGACCTAAAAGGAAAAATGAAAGCTTCTCTTTTTAACTTTAGCAATGTATACAGGAGAAAGGGTTACTAGCTCCTTGCTCCTGGCATGTTAGTCGCCTCTTACAACAAGCATGGCTTACGGAGGAAAAATTCTGTTCCACTTCCTTGTGGAGATCAAAGGAAAGAAATAAGAACAAGAACTTCCAGCAATCATGCGTGAGCATGTTAGATAAGAGCGAATGGAGACAAGTGGTTTTTAGGATTTGACATGCTGTTGGAGTGTGAGCAAGGTAACATTTATGAAGGGATTCAGGGAAACCGGCAGGCCAGACTTGACTCCTGGAGATGGGAAGTACAGTGCCTGCACTCTGAAGGAGGGGTGTTAACGTTGCAGTTTTATAACTGTAGTGTAAGCACATCTTTGGAAAGACAGTGATGGAGTGAGTGATGATGAAAGTTTTTCTTTTTTTGGGCCACCTGGCCTTGGTGGGAAACAGTCTATGTGTTAATAATAATAAAAAAAACTAGTAAGAAAATAGAAGAAAACCCAGAGAGGTGTGTATGTATATGCCTGTACATGCAAGTGTAGTGCGACCCGAGTGTAAGCAGAAGTAGCAAGACTTACCTGAAATCTTGCATGTTTATGAGGCAGAAAAAAGACACCAGCAATCCTACCAGCATGTAAAACAATTACAAGTTTCCATTTTACACTCACTTGCAGGATGGTAGTACCTCCCTGGACAGCTACTGTCTACCAACCTACTACCAAGGAAATTGTGTGCCTTATTAAAATCAAATTTAAGGAACACATCAAATGAGGAAGTATTCAATAGGAAACTACCAGGTACACAATACAGAGATGAGAGTTGGAAAAAAAGGTGATGACATAGCAACAGGAAATGATACAAGTTATGGAAATTAAAATCCAAAACCCAAATAACATAAATATTAGTGGTAGAAATCTGAAACAAAGAAAAAGGCCTTCTAATTGTAAGTGTATAAAACCCACCAATTAATAACATATGACAAATGGTATGGGAATATTGGCAAATTGTAGTTGATGAAGTTTGAAAAAGCTTGCTGTGTAGGAAAAACTGTCTTAAATAAAGTTTTGCTGCTTGTGTGTTGATTAGATTATGATATGAGAATGCTGTACTAAAAATATTGCTAGGAATTTGTAAGGTTTCAATTAAAAAGAAGTAGAGTGGATAGCCTACAATGCTGGAATGGAAAACAAATTTAAACAATATTCCTCAATTATACAATGGGGTTCTTCATTACACCACTTATGAATGAAGCAACTTAAATGACAAAAAATCAATATACAGTATGTAGGGGATAAATTTCACATTCAGATTAGTTTTAGTGTGATGTTAAGGATAACCAATATGAGGGGATGAATAACAGCATACTCAAGTTAGAACTCTGAAATTAACCTGACACATAATGCTAGTTACTACAGCGAGGTATACCTGGGCGCAAGAAGCTTACTCATGGTAACTCACTTTTCTCTTTGATGCATTGGTGCTCTTGTAAGGCAAGACGTAGTTGGAGTAACTACGTTTTGCTTCCACCTTTGTTTTCACACCACCTGCAAAGTAAGCATGCTGCCTTATTCACAATATTAATGTTATAACCTTACAGGTTGGAAGGAAGGGGTAAAGGAGGTTTTGTGGGCGAGGGGCTTGGACTTCTAGCAAGTGTGCATGAGCGTGTTTGATAGGAGTGAATGGAGACAAATGGTATTTGGGACCTGACGAGCTGTTGGAGTGTTAGCAGGGTAATATTTAGTGAAGGGATTCGGGGAAACCGGTTATTTTTATATAGCCAGACTTGAGTCCTGGAAATGGGAAGTACAATTCCTGCACTCTAAAGGAGGGGTTCAGGATATTGGCAGTTTGGAGGGATATGTTGTGTATCTTTATACATATATGCTTCTAAGCTGTTGTATTCTGGGCACCTCTGCAAAAACAGTGATAATGTGTGAGTGAGGTGAAAGTGTTGAATGATGATGAAAGTATTTTCTTTTTGGGGATTTTCTTTCTTTTTGGGTCACCCTGCCTTGGTGGGAGACGGCCGACTTGTTGAGAAAAAAAAAAAAAAAAACTTATAGAAAGCTTTTCAATAAAAATTCTTTATGCTAAATAGTCACAATGAATAACAGTTAATTTCCAAGTATGTTTGTGGTTTCTCAATCACATTCTCACTATTCCTTGAAAATGGTATTGAAAAATCCCCCAAAACATTTAACATTCACTGTAGTTATATTTCACATGTTTCTTGTGATCTTATTGCAAAAATTTTGCACGTTTATTCTCTAATTATATAATCCTGGCAAAATGTCTCCTATGTTGGGAATGTTATGTCCTTTTATTGCACATGACAAAGATTTGAAAGATAAATGCATCAATACTATACAAATACTAGTACATACATACTAACCAGCCTGTCTGATGCGGTAATCGAAGGTCTGGTAGATCCAGGCATTGGGATCTTTACGAGGGTCGTAACCAAACATGACCCATAAGTTTCTCCAAGGACCAGTGTGGAAGTAGTAGGACAAAGTAGGTAGTAGATACTAAAAATAAAAAATGGCAAACAAATGAATAAACTTTCAATGATAACAAATTCTGTAATTGTAATAATGTTGGTAGAATTACCAACAATATGTTAGGTAAAAGGAAATCATACCACAGGAGGGTTAGAACCTGCGATCAGAGAGTCATAAAACTCCAGACCAACGCGTTAGCAACTGGGCCAGCTAGCCACAATAAGATTCAGCCAACTAGGTATATTTATATACCATGGTGTATAAATATACCTAGTTGGATGAATCTTATTGTGGCTAGCTGGCTCACTGGCTAACACTTATGACTCTGATCGCGGGTTCTAACCCCGCCCGTGGTATGGTTTGCTTGCAATTGTGTCATTACGATTTCGTGAGTTAGGTAAAAGTACACGTGCAACTAATGCGACATTTTATTGTGGCAACTTTTCACTCCCCAAGAGCTTTGCCAAGCTTGACAAAGCTTTTGGAAAGCAAAACAATACCACAATAAAATGTTGAATTTAGCTGCACAAGTGTACTTTTACTTAATATAATAAAATCTAATATTCAGTGGAATTACATGCAAAAAAACATGAGTAGTAATTCAAACCAGTAAATAAAGAATATGCATGATGTTCCACCCTGTCACTCCTCCAATAATTTACCTTAAGTTTATCCTTAGTATAGTCCAGTCTAACTCTAAGAGCATTTTTTGACCATATAGGACGCTTTTCAAACTCATTCCTGAGGCCCTGGTAGAGAGCACTGTCCATGAATTTCACACGAATCTGTGACATGGCTCCTGGCAGTGGATTCCTCGGTACTTCTTCATCCTGGAATTACACAGAAATCTTATTAACAAAAGGAAATGTACATGTAACACATAAGCATTTATAATACTACTTTAACCCTTAAACGGTCCAAACGTATATATACGCTTTTTCAACATCTGAAAGTATGTAAAAAAATGTAGATATTTTTTTACATTTGAAAATGTGTAAAAAAAACTTTTATCTACATTTTTTTTTGTTATATTTGAAAATATGTAAAAAAAAGTAGATCTACTTTTGTAGCACTACGAATTTGAACGTCGATCTGTTTGGACCGTTTAAGGGTTAATGAGCTATCTCATTTTCAAATAATTTAATACATCCTACTCTTGTTAGGTGAGAAGCAACTGGCTTAATGGAGAGAAGATAAGAGAATATGGGTCTTCAATTTAATCTTCTCTTGTATCACCAATGTGAGGTGGGCAATGAGGTCACTACATCACTGTGCCATGGGTTTGTTTATATTTTAATAAATGTATCATAAAAAAAATAGAAAATCTGTCTTATATTTAAAAAAATTACATAGAACAATAACAAAACTAGAAATACAAAACCCTTAAACTGTCCAAACGTAGATCTTTGTTCACTCGTGTGGCGCTCCGAACGTAGATTTACGTTTTTTTTTTTACATGCTTTCAAATGGAGAAAATCAAGGTTGGAACGCTACGTGCGTAAACACAGATCTATGTTTGGACAGTTGAAGGGATAATAATAGTAACAATATTCACAAAAGTGCTAAATATGTAATTATATAAAAAATGCAAATACAGTGGACCCCCGCATAACGATCACCTCCGAATGTGACCAATTATGTAAGTGTATTTATGTAAGTGCATTTGTACGTGTATGTTTGGGGGTCTGAAATGGACTAATCTACTTCACAATATTCCTTATGGGAACAAATTTGGTCAGTACTGGCACCTGAACATACTTCTGGAGTGAAAAAAATATCGTTAACCGGGGGTCCACTGTATAATGATCACCAATAGTTTATACATGTACAGCCATACCCTGCCCTACATCATTAATTGGTTCCAAGAGCTGTGACGTAATCCGGTTTTTGATATAAACTGGATGTAATGCCTTAAAATGATGAAAAACACAGTAAAACTAGCATAAATAACTCACAAAAGAATATGACTATTCCTAAACCTTAGAAAACACTAAAACCATATTTTAGTTATATTTTTTAGAGAATAATGAACACTGTTAAAAAAATTATGTTATTTACCTTGTGATTTGCTCTTAAAAATGCCTTAAGTATGCCAAGAAACATCTTACAATTAGTATTAGTGTAAACAACACGTTCTGAACCATATTTAACTTCCATCGTAACCACATTGTGCTAAGAATCACTAGCACTATCCTTCTTAGGACCCATGGCTAACATAGACACAGTTAAGTAATAAACACAAAAATAACAGCAAAAGGCAAAACAAGCACATGATTGCAGAATGGCAAAAATGCATATGGCATCGTCCTTGTTTTGAATGAGAACCAGCACCAACGCCACTACGAACATTTGTTTACAATTTTTCGATGTAAAAACTTTATTGTACATGTAAACATTTTTTCTCCATGGGGAAGTGGAACAGAATTCTTCCTCCGTAAGCCATGCGTGTCGGAGGCGACTAAAATGCCGGGAGCAAGGGGCTAGTAACCCCTTCTTCTGTATATATTACTAAATTTAAAAGGAGAAACTTTCGTTTTTCCTTTTGGGCCGCCCCACCTCAGTGTTATACGGCTGGTATGTTGAAAGAAGAAAGAAGTAAACATTTTTATATTTTTAATGTGTTTTTATTGTATTTTTGTTTTATTTATTTTAAATATATTTTTAAGGAAAATTTATTTATTTCACGTCCTTTTATTATGACGTAGGTGATGTTGGTGAGTGATGTAAAGTCGGACATATGACATTCGCTGAACTAAAATTTACTCTAGAAAACTGGCGTAAAGGTGAATTTGATGTAAGCCGAAATGACTAAAGCGGGGTATGACTGTACGTATTTGGAATTTACTAGTGGTGTGCATGTAATACTGTATATAAAACAATCACTACAAGCATATAACTTTAATAATATTTACTTTCATAGTAAATTTTAGCTTCCATTCAAGTTTACAATAACAATATTGTCATGAAACTTTAAGAAAGTATACCTTAAACGAATGGAAGAGAGCAAAATGCGTTCTTCTCTGACGGGTACGAGAAATAATGTTTTGGGGTATCTTTGATTTGCTCTCAGTGTTTCCTTCTCTTCTGTAACGATAATCCTGAAAAGAATATAGCACACTGAAAAATAAGATTGAGATATCTAAGCAGTATTGAGAAAAGTAATTTGCTAATTATTATAGACGAGGATAAACTTAAAACCCATTAAGGTTATAGAGTGCTTGGGGAAACAGAGAACCAGGTTTAATTTTGAGGAGGGAAGCTGTAATACCTTGGGCATTTCAAGGACTTCAAATATCAACAGCTACGCTGAGTAATGGACAAAAAATTAAAGAGTGAAAATTAAGGATATTTGAAGTGACAATTTTTTTTTTCAGCCTCCTTTCCACACTAAGCATTTTAATTTTCAGATGAAAGAGCTCCAGGTTAGTGACATTTCTTTAAAATAAAAAGAGAGTATGAAACTAGACAGCTTGTAAATGCTACCTGTGGGGTGTCCATACGAGTGAAGGCAGCTGGAGGCAGGTACAATGGTGCTGGTTGGTTCAACCAATCAGCTTTCTCCATCCCTCTTGGAACAAGCTGGTCATAAACACACATTAGTGGCTGCCCTTCTTCCATGCTAACCAAGGGAACGTACTGAAAGTCACACAGACCTGGAACAACACCATACAATTTATGAAACTCAGTCAACAGTTCCTTGTTTGCCAATGCTTTAAAAATCCTTATTCATGATTTTATTGTCATACATTACATCAAACCAGGTTGAGAATATTTCAAATTAATTATCTCTCGAACATTTCTGACAATGCACCTTTAACTGATGAAATTAAAAAAAATAAAGACAAAATGCATTCACAATATAAGATTTAAGTTTAAATACAGCATAACAATACGTACAGTGGTCCCTCGTTTATCGTCGTTAATCTGTTCCTGGAAGTGTGACGATTATCGAAATAGACGATTTTCGAATCAATTTTCCCCATAAGAAATAATGTAAGTACAATTAATCCGTTCCTGACACCCAGAAGTATTAAAACAAAAAATTTTTTTACATGAAATATAGATGTAGTACATAAACAATACAATGGGACATGATGAATGAAACATTAACGGCATAACACTTGCTTTTATTGGCGATTCTTCTTAGTGTATGGAAGACTGGAGGAGGAGAGACATTGGATTATTTACTCTTTGGAAGGGGAATCCCCTTCCATCAACACCTCAGGTACCAAGTCCTTTCCTGGGGTTACTTCTCTTCTCTGTTTCTTAACGCCACTAGGACCAGCTTGAGAGTCACTGGACTCCTGTCTCGCAAAAAAACTGTCCACAGAGCTCTGTTTCTGGCGTCTCTTTAAAACTTCCCTAAAATGGGCCAAGACTCTGTCACTGTACAAGTTGCTGATATGGCTTGCAACATCCTTCTCAGGGTGATGTTTCTCCATAAATCTTTCCATCCTACCCCACATTTCAAAAATCTCCTTAATTTCTGAAGGAGGCACCTTCTTCCATCTCTCTTCCTCCTCCTCTGCAGCAAGATTCTGAGCTGCGATCTGTTGCTCTTCCTGCTGAAGCTCTTGTAGCTCCTCAGTGGTTAGCTCTTCATTGTCGTCCTCCACCAACTCTTCCACATCCTCCAAACTCACATCCAACCCCATGGAACTCCCCAATGCCACAATAAAGTTCACAACTGACATAGGCTCATCAGGGGCAGCCACAAACCCTTCAAAAGCCCTCTTGTGGACACAATCTGGCCACAATTTTCTCCAAGCAGAGTTCAAAGTCCTGGTAGTCACTCCCTCCCAAGCCTTACCTACAAGGCTTATGCAATGGAGGATACTGAAGTGTTCTTTCCAAAAATCTGTTAGGGTTAAGTGAGTGTCCGAGGTCACATTAAAGCATGTTTGAAACATTGCTTTGGTGTAGAGTTTTTTAAAGTTTGAAATGACCTGCTGGTCCATGGGCTGGAAGAAAGGAGTGGTATTCGGGGGCAAGAACTTTACTGTGATGAACCCAAACTCCTTCAGAATTAGGTCATCCAAGTTTGGAGGATGAGCAGGTGCATTGTCCATTAATAGGAGGCACTTGAGATCCAATTTCTTTTCCAGGAGGTAATTCTTCACACTAGAGCTAAACACTTCATTGAACCACTCGACGAAAATTTCCCTCATGACCCATGCCTTATTATTAGATCTCCAAAACACACACAATTTACTCTTCATAACATTGTTTTTCCTGAACACTCTGGGATTTTCAGAATGGTACACTAGTAATGGCTATACTTTGAAATCCCCACTAGCATTAGCACAGAACATGAGCATCAGCCTGTCTTTCATAGGCTTGTGTCCTGGCAGTACCTTTTCCTCCTGAGTAATGTAGGTCCTCTTTGGCATTTTCTTCCAAAAGAGGCCTGTTTCGTCCCAACTGAACACTTGTTCAGGTTTCAGTCCTTCAGCCTCTATGTACTCCTTGAATTCCTGCACAAATTTTTCAGCCGCTTTTTGGTCCTAACTGGCAGCCTCACCATGCCTTATCACACTGTGTATGCCAGTACAGTTCTTAAATCTCTCAAACCAGCCTTTGCTGGCCTTCAATTCACAAATATCAGTACTCGTTGCAGGCAATTTCTTTACCAGATCGTAATGCAACTGCCTAGCCTTTTCACAAATAATCGACATCATAAGACTATCTCCTGCTAATTGTTTCTCGTTTATCCACACCAATAATAACTTCTCAACATCTTCAAGTACTGGTGATCTCATTTTTGTCAGCATATTTACCCCCTTTGCAACAACAGCTTCCTTGATTTCCATTTTCTTGGCCACGATGGAAGATATGGTTGTACGGGATTTGTTATACATCCTGGCCAGTTCGCCCACACGTATGCCACTTTCATATTGTTCAATGATGTTTTTCTTAAATTCAATTGTATTTCTCACCTTCTTTACCAAAGGCTTGGCACTAGGAGCTTTCTTTGGAGCCATGGTAGCTTATTTAGCACTTGCAAGCACTAAAATGAATGGGATATTATGAAATATTTCACATAAACAACTGAGGGGACCGTCACTCACTGGTAAACAATGGCACACTGGCTGGGAAGGGAGGCCAAGGCGGCTCAGAGCCATGAGTACGCGTCCAGGATGAATGACGATTAGCGAGTCAACCGAGCCGATGTTTGGATGAAATAACGTGACGATTTCCAAAAAGGACAACTATCGAGCCAGACAATTATCGAGGGACCACTGTACTATGAATATAATCAAGGTAAATGTTTTTAATCAGCATACTAGAACACAAGAACTCAAAAGGAGCACTATATACAAAACTCAAGAGGGTCACCAAATAGAACGTAAGGAACACGTAAAAGACCTAGGAATAACTATGTCAGCGGACCTTTCTTTTAAAGATCATAACAAGACAAAGATCACGACAGCCAGTAAGATGGCTGGGTAGGTATTGAGAACTTTCAAAACAAGGGAAACAATGTTGATGGTGACACTCTTCAAATCGCTAGTGCTCCCTCACTTAGAATATTGCTCAGTGCTGATGGCCCCGTTCAGGGCAGGAGAAATATCGGAGCTGGAACAAATACAGAGATCGTTCACGGCTCACATTGGGCCAGTAAAGCACCTAAACTATTGGGAACGCCTGCAAGTCTTGAACATGTACTCATTGGAATGGAGGAGAGAGAGGTACATGATAATACATACCTGGAAGGTACTCGAGGGCTTGGTCCCAAATCTGCACACTGCCATAACAACATACTGGAGTGAGAGATATGGGAGGAAGTGTAAAATAAACCCAGTGAGGAGCAGGGGTGTGGTGGGGACAATAAGGGAACACTGTATCAACATCCGGGGTCCCAGACTTTTCAACATCTCACCAGAAGATATCAGAAACACTGCTGGAACAAGTGTTGAAGCCTTCAAGAGGAAACTAGACAAGTATCTTCACCAGGTGCCAGATCAACCAGGCTGTGATGGATATGTGGGGCAGCAGGCCTCCAGCAGCAACAGTCTGGTTGACCAGGCGAGTACCAGACGAGCCTGGCCCATGGCCGGGCTCAGAGAGTAGATATACTCTCGATATTCTTCAAAGGTATATCAAAGGTACCATAAATGAAAACAAGTCATCATATATAGTTTAGATACAGCACTGCCCTTTGCCTCAACTAAAGTAAATGGATATTCTGTTTTGTCTAAAACAATAATAACAAGAATACCTACTTGACTGTTTCTCAGCAACAGTACTGTACTAGTTAATGATTTAAATATGATCTAATCATTATGCAATATAATTTACATAACCTAGTTTTATTTCAGTTATTAATCTGAAATTACTAGGAACAGGTCAAATTTCTACAAATCTTTGTGTCAAACAAAAAAAATTAATTTCATGACCAAAGGACCAAAGGACCCCAATGGAAATAAGTCACTCTGTGTGACTTTTTTGGGTTATCCTAGGTTCCCTACACATATGCTGCTATGTATGATAATCTATGTAACTGTATTTATGTATACCTGAATAAACTTACTTACTAATCACAGAATTGGAGGAGCACGAATCCATGGGAAGCAAACCCCATCCATTCTGTGATTTTTTTTTCAATTGTGTTATTGTGATTTTGCGAGTCAAATGACCAAATCTGAACCAAACCAAAAACAGGATATTGCAAATTCTATAACACTGATTAAAATAGGACACAGAGATACAGTAATTAACTCACTATTAAATTTATATGTAGTATGGACAACCCCAATCAAGTCTGTTTTGATGCTTGTTGACTCCTCCCTTCTCTTTGCAGCCATTTCCTCTGACACATCCAAGGGGTCACCTGCAAATAACAAACTAATAAGCAACAATGTACTTTAAAAAACAGTAATGAAAAATCGTAGCCAAGAGAGAGAGAGAGAGTAAACAGTAAATAATGAACCCATTAATTCTGAAGAAGAAGCAGAAACTGTCTTGACCTGGTTATGGCTCCTGGTCAAGATAAGCATTGAAGATATTAACCCTTAAACGGTCCAAACAGATCGACGTTCAAATTCGTATTGCTAAAAAAGTAGATCCAGTTTTTTTTACTTATTTTCAAATATAAAAAAAAATGTAGATAAAAGTTTTTTTTACACGTTTTCAAAGGTAAAACAAAAAAGAAGATCTACATTTTTTTACATACTTTCAGATGTTGAAAAAACGTATATACATGTATACGTTTGGACCATTTAAAATGAGGTTATAATTTTGTTGCTAATCCTATGATCAGCAGAAATGAGTGGGCGGCATGTATGTAAATACTGACAATGTGATGTTATAAGCAATGTAATGTGAGTTATGTCAAAAGTTAAAAGAATGGACACTATTGAGCTGATCCAGAGCTGGATTAAGATTTTGTAGGCCCCTGGGCTGCAGGTGCTATGAGGCCTCCAGTGATATTTTCAAAAGGAAAAAAATGTTAGACTTTTTTTGTTTTTTTTTTCAACAAGTCGGCCGTCTCCCACCGAGGCAGGGTGACCCAAAAAAGAAAGAAAATCCCAAAAAAAGAAAATACTTTCATCATCATTCAACACTTTCACCACACTCACACATTATCACTGTTTTTGCAGAGGTGCTCAGAATACAACAGTTTAGAAGCATATACATATACACAACATATCCCTCCAAACTACCAATATTAAATTTATTTTATTAATACAGTATTACAATACAGTGGACCCCCGCATAACGATCACCTCTGAATGCGACCAATTATGTAAGTGTATTTATGTAAGTGCGTTTGTACGTGTATGTTTGGGGGTCTGAAATGGACTAATCTACTTCACAATATTCCTTATGGGAACAAATTCGGTCAGTACTGGCACCTGAACATACTTCTGGAGTGAAAAAATATCGTTAACCGGGGGTCCACTGTACTATGAATATAATCAAGGTAAATGTTTTCAGTTAGGATACTACAACACATTTGTTTTGCATAATTTCTTGGAAACAAGTTAGATGCCCTCCAGCTAGCAGAGGTCCTCGGGCTGCAGCTCCTAAAACCCATGTCTTAACCCAGCTCTGAGCTGATCAAAATCTGAGGTGAACAGATATGTTTAGAAGATGAAATATGTAAAAGTGTCAGCTGAAAAAGTGCAGTTAACCTTGAATTTAATGGACTATTTGGCAGAGAGAAGCAATGGCCAGTAATGACAACTGTGGATAGAGATGAAATTGTTTTGCCATGATTAATCAATAATGGACATTTCTGCAACCAATGAGATTTGTCCACTGTTTATAAATCCATCAACCTAGTGGATTTTGTTTCAGTATTTCTGAAGGTCATTAAACAGAGGTCTGATAAAATGAAGTCCATTAAATTGAGGTCTATTAAATCAAGGTTTAATATTTCTAAGAGAGATTTAGTTATTCAAAAGACCAGAAGTGCTGCATGATAAACAGAGAAGGACAATGTGAGAGCATGTGTGATGTACATAAACTCTGATTTGTACATCTATGTATATCATGAGTTTACACAGTACTATATTACAAATGTGACTGCCAATGAATGAGAAATAGCCTAAATGAAAGAACTTTTCACTAGATCAAGTCTTAGTGGTGAATACAACTACTAATATGATAATCTTTTCACAAACAACCCACACTTCTGAGAGGAAACCCTTTATATTTTGGTCTATCCTGGACCTTTATAAAGTGACTTGATAATGAATGGATCTAAACACTGACAAATTTTCTCCTGTAAAATCAGCAATTTTCCCACTAGTGTTGCATAAAAAAGTATGTTTGTGAGGAGAAATCAAGAAATATAAAATACCTTATTACACTTAAATTTTAACTAACCATCAACTTTCTGTTCTACAATTTTTTTCTTCTTCCTCTTTCGTACAACTCGCAGCAGCAGAGCAGTGGAGTTATGCCGCTCACTACATGTAGGTTTGCAGTACACGTCGTTTGGACGAAAACGCAGTTCCATTCTACGATTATCCTCGCAATACACCTAGTACATAGGTGTCAAAGAGAACTTGAATGATGACTCATGAAATCATGACACAACTGCAAATAAACCACAGGACGGATGGGGATTGAACTTGCGGAAAATGGCTTACCTGCTGTCCTGCAGTTTTACAACTCACTTGCCATGAGTTCAATCACCACTTGTACCATGATTTCTTTAATTTGAATGATCAATGAAGAAACAGTACAATAGATAAGCAATATTTTTTAATTATCTTTGATTTCACACTAAACATTATATAATACAGTACTAGAAATTAAAAAACAAACTATTTAAACTTTATAAAATGTGAAGAGTAGTATTGCAAAATATGTGGATTATTATTATTATTATTATAATAAAAAAGAAGCGCTAAGCCACAAGGGCTATACAGCGCTGCAGGGCAGGAAGGAAGCGAGGGCATCAGGTGGCAAAAGGGAGAGGGATGATTACTAGGTTATGGAGAACAGCGGGGCAGTGGATAGTGAAGGGGTAGAGGGTAGCAAGAGATTGAGGTAGAGAGGGCTGAGGGGAGTGCGGAAGGTATCATCATCAGAGTTTGTGGAGCAAATCGGTCGTTGTAAAGAAGTCAATGAGAGAGTCAGGATTAAAGGAGGGTCCATCAGCAAGAAGGGAAGATAAAGAAAGAGTAGTAGAGCAGAGACGACGTTGGAGGTAAATTCTGCGTGCTCATGGATAGAGAGGGCAGTCTAACAGAACGTGGCTAACCGATACTGGAACCTGACACTTCTCACAGAGAGGAACAGGATGCCTCTCCATGAGATACCCATGAGTAAGAGGAGTGTGGCCAATGCGAAGACGGGAGAGAGTAGTCTCCCAACCTCGACACTGGTGACAAGAAGACGGCCAGTAACCTATACTCGGTTTAATAGACTGAAGTTTGTTACCGAGCAGAGTAGACCAACATTGTTGCCAACGGGTGTGAAGGTGGGTAGCTATTGCAGCAAAATAGTCTATAAATGGAGCACCTCTATATGAAACTGGTAGGTCATGTACTTCTGAACACGCAGCAGTGTCTGCCTGTTCATTTCCCTGTACGTCAACATGACCAGGGACCCAACAAAAAACAATATCTTTTTGCTTGGTAGAGATGCGGCATAGCCAAAGTTGGATACGGAGGACTAAGGGGTGAGGTGTATCAAATTTCTGTATAGCCCGTAAAGCACTAAGGGAGCCTGAGACAACCACAAATGATGACACAGGCATAGATGCAATACAGATAAGTGCTGCAAGAATGGCATACAATTCAGCAGTAAAAATGCTAGCCGAAGATAGTAAATGCCCTCGTACGACGCTGTCCGGAAACACTGCTGTGAATCCTACGCCCTCAGAAGACTTAGAGCCATCTGTGTACACTGCAATGGCATGAGAATGAGAGTGGAAGTGGTCAAGAAAAAGAGAGCGGGAAGCCACCGTAGGCAGTTGGGCTTTCGAGCAAGGGAGTGAGAAAGAACAGACTCGAACAGCTGGAACTTCTCAGGGGGGTAGGGAAAAGTGAGATGCTACATGAACATAGAAAGGTGGTAATTGAAGAGAAGACAAGAGCGAAAGTAGGTGAAGAGAGAAGGGACGGAACAAACAGGAGCGGCGAACAAATAAAGAATGTCTACTAATATCGGTGACCATTGTATAAATGGAAGGATTGCGGAGATCATGAGAGCGTATATAATAGTGAAGGCAATGGGCATCACGGCGATCGGACAAGGATGAAACATTCGCTTCTGCATAGAGGCTCTCAACAGGGGAAGAGCGAAAAGCACCAAGGCATAAACATAATCCTTGGTGATGGATGGGGTTAAGGCTAGAGAGAGTAGCAGGAGAGGCCGCTGAATAGATCTGGTCACCATAATCGAGTTTCGATAAAATGAGGGTGGAATGTAGGCGAAGGAGAGTTCAACAATCAGCTCCCCATGAAAGATGAGCAAGGGTTTTAAGAAGGTTCAGCCGGCTGTGACAAGTTTCCTTCAGAGAGGTAATGTGAGGTTTCCAGGTTAACCTACGGTCAAAGAGAAGGCCTAGAAACCTGACTGTATCACGTTCAGGGATACGGGAGCCATAGAGGAACAAAGGATGATCGGAGATGACAGAGCGTCTAGTGAAAGTAATTTGGTGAGTTTTGGTACTGGAAAATTGAAACCCATGTGTGGTGGCCCAATTGGAAACACGGTCGACCGCATGCTGGAGAGAAACTATAATGAGGTGACAGTCAGCGCTTGCACAAGCAATAGCGAAGTCATCAACATAGAGTGATGACCAAATATTGGATGGAAGACTAGAGGCCAAATCATTTATAGCAAGAAGAAAAAGTGTTGTGCTCAGAACACATTCCTGGGGGACACCTTCAGCTTGGATAGAGTCCTGGGAGAGCACATTATTAACCTGAACACCGAAATGTCTGTCAGTTAAAAAGTTCTTAAGGAAGGATTGTAGATTGCCTCGGAGGCCTAAGGAGTGGGCTTGGGTCAAAATATTATACCTCCAAGTTGTGTCATATGCCTTCTCAAGGTCAAAAAATATGGCAACAACTGAGTGGTTATTCGCAAAGGCATTACGAACGTACGTATCCAAGCGTAGTAAGGGGTCTATGGTAGAACGGCCCTTACGAAAGCCATATTGACAAGTGGAGAGACTGTTGTGTGTCTCTAAATACCACATTAAACGTCTATTTACCAGATGTTCCATCACTTTGCAAACTGCACTGGTAAGAGCAATGGGACGAAAGTGGGAGGCTTCATGTCCCATAGTACCTGGTTTGAGGAAAGGGAGAACAATGGCAGATTTCCACAGCTTTGGAAGAACTCATTGTGACCAAATAAGATTGAAAAGGCATAAGAGGACTACAAGGGCTGACTGATGTAAATGTTGTAGCATACGAATATGAATGTTGTCGGGCCCAGCTGCCAATGATCGGCAAGCTGAGAGTGTTGCCTCCATTTCTTGAAGTGTAAAAGGCACATTATACTGTTCTTCTCTGAGAGAAGAAAAGTCCAAGGGTGCTAACTCTCTGGCAGACTTTGAGGAAAGAAACGAGGGGCATAGATGGAGACCCAGAGAAATATGGACCAGATGATTGCCAATTTCAATGGCAACATCTAGAGGTTTGCTATATCAACACCGGCAACCCGCAGAACAGGAGCTGGGTCAGGAGAATATTTACCACTCAGTTTCCGTACTTTTTTCCAGACTGCACTCATAGAGGAAGCAGAGGTGATGGTGGAAACATAAGCTAGCCAGCAAGTGTGTTTAGCGTCACAGATGACACGGCAAGCGATCGCACGCTTCTGCTTAAAAATCAAGAAGTCTCTCAGTGGTTCTATTGTACCGGTACCTGCCCCACACAGCGCATTTCAAACGTACTGCATGAGCATAAGCAGGAGACCACCAAGGCACGCATTTCTGAGAATGCCTGTCCAAGGTTTGGGGTACAGAATGAGAAGCTGCGGTTAAAAGTGAGGATGAGAAGAGGTGTAAAAGCTCATCAATGGAGGATGAAGAAGGAACCTCACTAAAAGCAGTTAGTTGTGAGTAAAGGTCCCAATTTGCTTGATCAAATTGCCAGCATGGGTTACGAAGAGGTGGTGAATATGAAGGGGAAGTAAGAATGATTGGAAAATGATCGCTGTCATGTAAATCCGGGAGAACAGACCAGGTGAAGTCTAGTGCAGTGGAGGAAGAGCAGATTGAGAGATTGATACAAGAGAGAGTATGAGTACGAGGATCAAAATGGGTGTGAGTACCTGTATTTAAAACATGGAGGGGGTGGGAAGCAAGGAAAGCCTCTAACTGAATGCCATGGGAATCACAGTGAGACCCCCCCAGAGGAAATGATAAGCATTAAAATCGCCAAGTAACAGAAGTGGTGGTGGTAGTGACAAAACAAGAAAGGCAATATCCGGGATAGATAATGCCCGAGAAGGAGAGAGATACAAAGAACAGAGTGCATACCACCTATGCAAGTGGATACGGGTTGCTGTGTAATGCAGCGAAGTACGAACAAATAGCTGATGGCACGGAATATCAGTGCGTAGAAGAAGGGCACTTTTATTAAAGGTCCCATCAGGAAAAGGATCTGAAGAACACAATAAATTATAGCCTGAGATGGGATAGATAACAGCAGAGTGTAATTTTGGTTCTTGTAAGGAAACACCAACAGGGGAAAACTGGGAGAGCAACATCTGAATCTCACGCCGATTACCCCTGAGGCAGCGTATATTCTACTGTAAATAGGCCATGATTGGCAAAGATAAAGATACCAGAAATCCGCAGGTAAGGGTACCTACGGACTAGAGGGGTTAGAAAAGTCCACATGCGGTGGCAGCGGAAAACGTTCAAGCAGCGAAGGAACGGTGCACTGCGAAGAAAGGAGTTGCGCAGATGGAGGAGAGGAAAGAGAAGGAACAGAGGGTGGATCAGTGTCCATTGATGGTTTGGTCTCTGCAATATATTCAGAGATTGCTTCAAGTGTTTCGGAATTCAAAGACGTCGTATGGGAGACAATACTGGAGATGGAAGGAAGAGGATAAGTAAAGATTAGAACTGTAATGGGCTGTACCAAGGTAGGGGGGGCAAAAGGGTGGAGAGAACTGGAGGAGGAGTATGGGAGGGGACAGAAGAGGCAGAAACCTGGGAGGTGGCAGAAGAGGAAGAAACTTGGGAGGGGACAAGGGAGGAAGGCACAGTACGAGGAGGAGGGTGAACCTCCACACTTGTCACAGAGCCAGTGAGAGGGGAAGAACCAGGAATAAAGACCGGGAAGGTACAATGAGGAGGTGAAAGAAGGGAAGGAGGGGTTAAAGGAGATTTTTTGGACTTCTGAGAAGTAGAGGGACGATTGGGAGGAAGAGGAGTACAAGGTCTTATTGATACCGGGGCTTGTGAGGGAGAACACGAAGAAGTGAGAACAGACTGAGGTGTTGAAGTAGGGATGTCTGAGCCCAGGACAGCAAAAGAATTAGATACAGGATTGACTATGGGAGGGGTAACCACAGAGGAGGCTGCAGAAGATGGGACCCCAGAAGTGGGGGGATGTTTTGAAACATGAGAATAAGAAACACGGGGTAGTCTCCCTTGGAGGCGGAGATGGGAAACTGCCATAGCATAAGGGAGACCTTCTGCCTCTTTGAGGTAACGGATTTCCCGCTCATTTAAGTAGACCTGGCAATGGCAAGAGTACGAAGGGTGAGTGTCATGACAATTAAGGCAAGAGGGAGGTCGACTGCAAGACGTATTAGAATGGTCATCGGCACCACAGACTGGGCATTCAGCTATAGATCTGCAATATTTTGCTGGATGGCCAAATCGCCAGAAATTTCTACACTGTTGTGGTGTAGGGATCACCTTTCGAACTTGTAACCGATGTCCTGCTACATAAACTGAGGATGGGAGTTCACGGTTGTCAAAAGTTAAACAAGCCACATTGCAAGGGTATCGTCTCCGCCCAGAGGCATGAAGGACATAAGTGTCTACCTTGAGTATTGGGAAATCTTGGAGTTCCAGCTGTTTGAGAATGTCATTGCCACGTGTCTGGAAATTCTGTTGGACTATGGTATGGGGCAGAATGACAGTACAAGAATTGAGGGAATGATGTTTTTCAATAGTGACAGGAATAGTATCGATATGTGAAAGAAGAGAAAGATCATGAGCTTGGGTAGCATTATGGACAGTGATGATGCACGTACCACTCTTAATAGCATGAAAGGAAATATCTCTACCAACATGGCATAGGAGTGCCTTGCCAATACTATGGTCGGAAAGATAGGCAACAGAGGAAGTCGGTCGTAAAGTAAAGAATTTAGTCCATTGTGCATTCTGAAACTGAGTGTGAAAGGGAGTGCATGATATGTTGATCTTTTCTGAGAAGAATGAGAAGGTGGTGAAGTATCATCATCAGGTAATTGTCGTTGGCGTTTAGGAGTGGGACCGGAGTTGGTCCGACGTGGAACGGGCTGGCGATTCGAAAATTGCCGCACTGTAGAGGGAGAGGCTGGAAGCATAGTCAAAGGAGAGCGGAGGTCAGATAAATCGAAGGAGTCAGTCGAAACCCCGGTACCTGAAGCGGGTGATGAAACAGCACCAGCAAGAGGTACAGGGGCATCAGGAGTGTCCGAAGAGTGGTCAAAAAATGAGGCGGGGTCAGAACGGGGTGCGGTATCAAGAAGGGGCCCGGGGGTAGCAGGTTCATGGACTAGGGCTTCCATGGTTAGGTTACTTCTTTTTTTTTTTGTTTTAAAGAAAAAAAAGAAAGAAGAAAAGAAAATAAAAAAAAAAGCATAAAAAAAGGGGGGACCGGGGAGGAATAGTTCCTAGGAGAAATGAAAGGGCCAGAAATCCCCCTCCACGCCCAAGAGGACCTCAGCACCACAAGTAGCGCAGATGCAGCATGGAACCCGTGCCATACCCTACCCTTCATGCCAGTAAACCAGCAACCTGAGATAGCAACCTCACATCTGCCGAGCTACCTCGGTGGACAAAAGAGAGGGCGGCCGGATATCTGCCACAAAGCATACCTCCTTCGACTGCCACCCCCTGGAATCTGAAAGACAGCCTCCAGAGATACACCCGTCACCCGAAAGATACCCGAAGCCACCCCGGGAGACCGGAGAGGGATTGGGACATCCCCAGGCGATCCAGATTCCACGGCAAACTACACCACCGCCAAGAACCTCAATGGAATGGGATGGACCCCGGTACCCTTTCCCCTACCTAGGAACTAGCGCGCCTGTGGGAAAAATCCCAAAGGCCAAAAAGAGGAACAGCAAAAGGGAGGAGTGGGGAGGAGGAGGAGGAAAGGAAAAAGGGAGGATGGGATAGGGAAGGGGGGGATTCCGGGGTAATTAGGTTCAGTCTGAGGAAGGAAACCAACAGGTCTAATTCCTCAGACCAAGAGCGTCTTCACCACAACAAGGAGCCCCCCTTGAAGAGGCAAAATATGTGAAGTAACACTTTATCTTATTCAAAATAATGTACAGTACAATGTGAAGTGTCCAAATTGGTATGTCTTTTAATATTGCAAGGTTTATTTCAGCACTATATTATGCAACAGCAACAATTTCCCTCATCTCATAAAAATAAAGGTTTTTACATCATATATAAGAAATTTTTATTCATATTTGTGTTAGGTAAGACACATATGCAACAGTTAGGTATCTTTATTTCGAAACATTTCACCTACACAGTAGGCTTCTTCAGTCGAGTACAGAAAAGTTGAAGTTGAAGAAGCCTACTGTGTAGGCGAAACGTTTCAAAATATAGATGCCTAACTGTTGCATATGTGTCTTACCTAACAACTTGTCGGTATTTTATACCATTTTAATGTTCATTCATATTTTTATCATATTACATGTAAATATAGACATACAATACATAATCTACATGGTATGGTGGCTTAACCTAGGATATCTCTCAATTCCTTAAAAGTATTTTTAACATTGCTCATGGAATTAGTAGTCACTCAATAATATTTTATTAGTTTACCTCTGATATTTTTTGAATTCCGCCCAATGTTTCGATCATCTTATCAACATTCTCCACGAGTCCTGGATATTCTATGCACATGAACTGCCTGAGCTTGCCAGTGCCACTGAAGCCACTCCCATGAGACATCTTCAAACCTGAAAATTTAATTGTTATGAAATTCTTCAGATTTCAAACCATAGCAATGCTATGGTAGATAAATCGCTTTTCAGATAATTTCTACAGGACAGAACTAAACATTTTTATTACGGTGTATACTGTATTAAAAATAAGCACTAAACCCATACAGGCCATAAAGTGAAGACAATAAATAAGCTTAGAATTTTGGTATTTTTTTAGGCAAATTATGTTCGTAGAGAAGCACTAAACCCATAGAGGTTATATAGCTCCTATCAATATTATTAGTATTATTACTGCAATCAAAACTAAGCACTAAACCCATAAGGGTCATACAATGTTGCTGGTATCAATAAAGAAGTGACAATGTAAATAATTTAGAAAACCAACAAGTTGAAGACTGAGACACTTCTGCAACATTTAGGAATCTTTAACATGGAAACGTTTCGCCAGCCAGTGGCTTCTTCAGTCCAATACAGAGAAGAACGGTAGAAGATGAGGAGGAGTTTGAGGTAATCAGTCCCTTAGCCTGGAATAGACTGTTGTTTACCTGGAGTTTACCTGGAGAGAGTTCTGGGGGTCAACGCCCCCGCGGCCCGGTCTGTGACCAGGCCTCCTGGTGGATCAGAGCCTGATCAACCAGGCTGTTACTGCTGGTTGCACGCAAACCAACGTACGAGCCACAGCCCGGCTGGTCAGGTACCGCCTTTAGGTGCTTGTCCAGTGCCAGCTTGAAGACTACCAGTTAAAAATGAGCGAGAGAAAGATTCAATCCAGGGAAGTCCAGCCCAATTTCTTGGATCAAACCCCCCTCCCTCATCAAGGAACCTTCCTTGAGGAGACCTCATTATAAAAAGCAGCGCTAAACCCGTAATGGTCACAAACCACGAAGGATCGTAGCTCCTCGTTGGCACTGTAACCGCCATCGACACTTTACACCTTATTAATAAGTTTATTTAGGCACAGGTGGATTTAGAGCTGTTTTTGATTATAATAACAATAATTTAGGCAGAGGTACACATAAGAACCTCAATGGAAGTAAGTCACTGACTTTTTTTGGTTATCCTGGGTAATTTACACATATGCTATGTATGATAATTTATGTAACTGTATTATGTGTAACTGTATTATGTGTAACTGTATTATGTGTAACTGTATTATGTGTAACTGTATTATGTGTAACTGTATTATGTATAACTGTATTATGTGTAACTGTAACTGTATTGTGTGTAACTGTATTATGTGTAACTGTATTATGTGTAACTGTAACTGTATTGTGTGTAACTGTATTATGTGTAACTGTATTATGTGTAACTGTATTATGTGTAACTGTATTATGTGTAACTGTATTATGTGTAACTGTATATGTTAACTGTATTATGTATACTGTAACTGTATTATGTGAAATGTAACTGTATTATGTGTAACTGTATTATGTGTAACTGTATTATGTGTAACTGTATTATGTGTAACTGTATTATGTGTAACTGTATTATGTGTAACTGTATTATGTATAGCTGTAACTGTATTATGTGTAACTGTAACTGTATTATGTGTAACTGTATTATGTGTAATTGTATTATGTGTAACTGTATTATGTGTAACTGTATTATGTGTAACTGTATTATGTGTAACTGTATTATGTATAACTGTATTATGTGTAACTGTATTATGTGTAACTGTATTATGTGTAACTGTATTATGTGTAACTGTATTATGTATAACTGTATTATGTGTAACTGTATTATGTGTAACTGTATTATGTGTAACTGTATTATGTGTAACTGTATTATGTGTAACTGTATTATGTATAACTGTATTATGTGTAACTGTATTATGTGTAACTGTATTATGTGTAACTGTATTATGTATAACTGTATTATGTATAACTGTATTATGTGTAACTGTATTATGTGTAACTGTATTATGTGTAACTGTATTATGTATAGCTGTAACTGTATTATGTGTAACTGTATTATGTGTAACTGTATTATGTGTAACTGTATTATGTGTAACTGTATTATGTATAGCTGTAACTGTATTATGCATAACTGTAACTGTATTATGCGTAACTGTAATATGTGTAACTGTATTATGTGTAACTGTATTATGTATAGCTGTAACTGTATTATGTGTAACTGTATTATGTGTAACTGTATTATGTGTAACTGTATTATGTGTAACTGTATTATGTGTAACTGTATTATGTATAACTGTAACTGTATTATGTGTAACTGTATTATGTGTAACTGTAACTGTATTATGTGTAACTGTAACTGTATTATATGTAACTGTAACTGTATTATGTGTAACTGTATTATGTGTAACTGTAACTGTATTATGTGTAACTGTAACTGTATTATGTGTAACTGTAACTGTATTATATGTAACTGTAACTGTATTATGTGTAACTGTATTATGTGTAACTGTAACTGTATTATGTGTAACTGTATTATGTGTAACTGTAACTGTATTATGTGTAACTGTAACTGTATTATATGTAACTGTAACTGTATTATGTGTAACTGTATTATGTGTAACTGTAACTGTATTATGTGTAACTGTATTATGTGTAACTGTAACTGCATTATGTTTAACTGTATTATGTGTAACTGTAACTGTATTATGTGTAACTGTATTATGTGTAACTGTAACTGTATTATATGTAACTGTATTATGTGTAACTAACTGTATTATGTGTAACTGTATTATGTGTAACTGTATTATGTGTAACTGTAACTGTATTATATGTAACTGTATTATGTGTAACTGTATATGTAACTGTATTATGTGTAACTGTATTATGTGTAACTGTATTATATGTAACTGTATTATATGTAACTGTATTATGTGTAACTGTATTATGTGTAACTGTAACTGTATTTTGTGTAACTATTATGTATAACTGTAACTGTATTATGTGTAACTGTATTATGTGTAACTGTATTATGTGTAACTGTAACATGTGTAACTGTATTATGTGTAACTGTATTATGTGTAACTGTATTATATGTAACTGTAACTGTATTATGTGTAACTGTAACTGTATTATGTGTAACTGTATTATGTGTAACTGTATTATGTGTAACTGTATTATGTGTAACTGTATGTGTAACTGTAACTGTATTATGTGTAACTGTAACTGTATTATGTGTAACTGTATTATGTGTAACTGTAACTGTATTATGTGTAACTGTATTATGTGTAACTAACTGTATTATGTGTAACTGTAACTGTATTATGTGTAACTGTATTATGTGTAACTGTAACTGTATTATGTGTAACTATTATGTATAACTGTAACTGTATTATGTGTAACTGTAACTGTATTATGTGTAACTGTATTATGTGTAACTGTAACTGTATTATGTGTAACTGTATTATGTGTAACTGTAACTGTATTATGTGTAACTATTATGTATAACTGTAACTGTATTATGTGTAACTGTAACTGTATTATGGTAACTGTTTTTATGTGTAACTGTAACTGTATTATGTGTAACTATTATGTATAACTGTAACTGTATTATGTGTAACTGTAACTGTATTATGTGTAACTGTACTATGTGTAACTGTAACTGTATTATGTGTAACTGTAACTGTATTATGTGTAACTGTAACTGCATTATATGTAACTGTAACTGTATTATGTGTAACTGTATTATGTGTAACTGTAACTGTATTATGTGTAACTGTATTATGTGTAACTGTAACTGCATTATGTTTAACTGTATTATGTGTAACTGTAACTGTATTATGTGTAACTGTATTATGTGTAACTGTAACTGTATTATATGTAACTGTATTATGTGTAACTAACTGTATTATGTGTAACTGTATTATGTGTAACTGTATTATGTGTAACTGTATTATGTGTAACTGTAACTGTATTATATGTAACTGTATTATGTGTAACTGTATTATATGTAACTGTATTATGTGTAACTGTATTATGTGTAACTATTATATGTAACTGTATTATATGTAACTGTATTATGTGTAACTGTATTATGTGTAACTGTAACTGTATTTTGTGTAACTATTATGTATAACTGTAACTGTATTATGTGTAACTGTATTATGTGTAACTGTATTATGTGTAACTGTAACTGTATTATGTGTAACTGTATTATGTGTAACTGTATTATGTGTAACTGTATTATATGTAACTGTAACTGTATTATGTGTAACTGTAACTGTATTATGTGTAACTGTATTATGTGTAACTGTATTATGTGTAACTGTAACTGTATTATGTGTAACTGTATTATGTGTAACTGTAACTGTATTATGTGTAACTGTAACTGTATTATGTGTAACTGTAACTGTATTATGTGTAACTGTATTATGTGTAACTGTATTATGTGTAACTGTAACTGTATTATGTGTAACTGTAACTGTATTATGTGTAACTATTATGTATAACTGTAACTGTATTATGTGTAACTGTAACTGTATTATGTGAACTGTATATGTGTAACTGTAATGTTATGTGTAACTGTATTAAGTGTAACTGTAACTGTATTATGTGTAACTGTATTATGTGTAACTGTAACTGTATTATGTGTAACTATTATGTATAACTGTAACTGTATTATGTGTAACTGTAACTGTATTATGTGTAACTGTATTATGTGTAACTGTAACTGTATTATGTGTAACTATTATGTATAACTGTAACTGTATTATGTGTAACTGTAACTGTATTATGTGTAACTGTACTATGTGTAACTGTAACTGTATTATGTGTAACTGTAACTGTATTATGTGTAACTGTAATTGTATTATGTGTAACTGTATTATGTGTAACTGTATTATGTAACTGTATTATGTGTAACTGTATTATGTATAACTGTAACTGTATTATGTATAACTGTAACTGTATTATGTGTAGATGTAACTGTATTATGTATAACTGTAACTGTATTATGTATAACTGTAACTGTATTATGTGTAACTGTATGTAACTGTATTATGTATAACTGTAACTGTATTATGTGTAGCTGTAACTGTATTATGTATAGCTGTAACTGTATTATGTGTAACTGTATTATGTATAACTGTAACTGTATTATGTGTAGCTGTAACTGTATTATGTATAACTGTAACTGTATTATGTGTAACTGTATTATGTGTAACTGTATTATGTATAACTGTAACTGTATTATGTATAACTGTAACTGTATTATGTGTAACTGTAACTGTATTATGTGTAACTGTATATGTGTAACTTTATTATGTATAACTGTATTATGTATAACTGTAACTGTATTATGTATAACTGTATTATGTGTAGCTATAATTGTATTATGTGTAGCTATAATTGTATTATGTGTAGCTATAATTGTATTATGTGTAGCTATAATTGTATTATGTGTAGCTATAATTGTATTATGTGTAGCTATAATTGTATTATGTGTATTATTATTATAATCAAAAAGAAGCGCCAAGCCACAAGGACTATACAGCATGTATTATGTGTAGCTATAATTGTATTATGTGTAGCTGTATTATGTGTAACTGTATTATGTATAACTGTATTATGTGTAGGTGTAACTGTATTATGTATAACTGTATTATGTGTACCTGAATAAACTTACTTAACTACAGTAGGAAGGGTTCTGGTGTTTGTGTTGGGTATATAAGGGCCACTGACAGTGTAAGCTGTAACAAGCCCGGCGTCCCGATGTTAATATGATTTCCTTCGGATTTTTAACCCCGGAGGGTTAGCCACCCAGGATAACACAGGTCAGTGCGTCATCGAGGACTGTCTGTTTTATTTCCACTGTGGTCCTCAATCTTTTCCCCCAGGATGCGACCCACACCAGTCCACTAACACCCAGGTACCTACTTGCTGCTAGGTGAACAGGACAACAGGTGTAAGGAAAAGCGCCAATATGTTCTACCCTGCCGGGAATCGAACCTGGGCCCTCCGTGTGTGAAGCGAGAGCTTTGCCAGCAAGGCCACGGGGCCATATAATATAATCTTTATTTACTACAAGTACATGTACAAGGTATACAGACCATAGCTGACATCAATGGCATACTACTATATAGAAAGTCGCTTATGCTGAGCATTTCGCGCAAATTAGGTCAGTTTTGTCCCAGGATGCCAAGCCCATGATGACACTCTTCAGGTCACTTGTTACATCTAGGCTGGAATATTGCTGCACACTAACACCACCTTTCAAGGCAGGTGAAATTGCTGACCTAGAGAACCTTCACGGCGCGCATAACGAAGATAAAATACCTCAATTACTGGGAGCGCTTGAAGTTCCTGAACTTGTATTCCTTGGAACGCAGGCGGGAGAGATACATGATTATATACACCTGGAAAATCCTATAGGGACTAGTACCAAACTTGCACACGAAAATCCCTCACAATGAAAGCAAAAGACTTGGCAGACGATGCAACATCCCCCCAATGAAAAGCAGGGGTGTCACTAGCACGTTAAGAGACAATACAATAAGTGTCAGGGGCCCGAGACTGTTCAACTGCCTCCCAGCATACATAAGGGGGATTACCAATAGACCCCTGGCAGTCTTCAAGCTGGCACTGGACAAGCACCTAAAGTCGGTACCTGACCAGCCGGGCTGTGTCTCGTACGTTGGATTGCGTGCAGCCAGCAGTAACAGCCTGGTTGATCAGGCTCTGATCCACCAGGAGGCCTGGTCACAGACCGGGCTGCGGGGGCGTTGACCCCCCGAACTCTCTCCAGGTAAACTCCAGAATGCGACCCACACCAGTCCACTAACACCCAGGTACACATTTTACTGATGCGTGAACATAGACAACCGGTGTAAGGAAACACGTCCGATGTTTCCACCCCTTCGCCGGGAATCAAACCCGGACCCCAATGGAAATAAGTCACTCAGTCTGACTTTTTTGGGTTATCCTAGGTTCTCTACACATATGCTCCTATGTATGATAATTCTATGTAACTGTATTTGTGTATACCTGAATAAACTTACTTACCCTCGCCTTGTGAAGCGAAAGCTTTGGCCACCAGACCACAGGGCACTGTGGGGCTTGTCAAGGGGATCCACCTGATCTAATTAGGAACTTCTAGTTTCCGTTTTTATTTACAATGGGACGACCGTTCCATTTTCTTTTATCCCCCAGCTTTGGCCAATATCTCTTCTCTGTACATCGGGAAGGGCGCGATACGGCCTAAGCTGCCACCAGCCCTTACAAACTCAACAAGAAGTCAAGTAAAAATATATTGCCTAAATACGAGCGGGAATTAGAAAAGAAACCATGTTTTCTCCCTCGGAAGAAACTGGAACATAAAATTACCAAGTTAGATCAGGTGGACCCCAGGTTCAAACACCACAGAGCAAAACGTCTTACTCCCTGAGTAAACACTTCGATATTCTACTAACGACGCCAGACGCCAGAGGTTTCTGCTCTTTCTTCCTGAGATGTTTAAAGCCACTGACAGCTTACGCCGTATGACGCTCTGTTTAGCAAGTAATTTTATTTAGGCACATATACATACAAGTACAATTATCATACATAGTGTAAATTATCTAGGATAACCCAAAAAAGTCAAAGTGACTTATTTCCATTGGGGTCCTTGACAACGAAGAACGGGGAAAACATTACCCAAAGCTGAGTGATGACGGGAAAGAGAACATCACGTATGCTGTCAGTGGCCCTGAAACTCAACAGAAGAAGAGAACATCAATTCCCTACTACTACATCTTAAGTAGAAAACATTTTCAAAGCAAATTAAAAAAAAAAGAGTATTGTGTACTGTCTCCCTGGTGACTGAACAAAAGTTATGGCAAAATAAACATTTGGTTCTCAAATTGAAATATTTATCCATCGTTGTTGTTGTTTGGTTGTTAAGGGTGTTATTAAACCCTGCTGCCCGGGAAAAATGTTGCCCAAACCTGGGCAATGGTAATGAAAATTGTTGACACGCAGTCTTAAACACATCAATTTCATGTAGATTTCAGGAATAAGCCATTGATGTTAATAAAGGACTCTTGATAAATAAACTGCAGCTATCCTCCCTAATAATAATAATCATTTATCGGGTCAATTTTAAGCTGGTATTAAACTTGACCAAATCATGACTTTGAAGCTCTGTTTATATTGATACTTGAAACTGTACACAGTGAGACTAGATGAAGCAATGCTAGAGCACATTTTTTAAATTTATTTAAAAAAACTTCAATAAGCCTATTTTCCAATTTGCAAACTACACTCGCATTATAAGTTCGAAGTCAATCAGACAAGGCATTCTCTATTTATCACACAGAAACCAATAATTTCTACCATTAATCGAGTTATTAAACTGGCAAATTTGCTCCTATATATACTAAAATTTTATTGAACCTTCTTCTGGTTAGATGCAATAACTTTACATTGCAAACTTGAAGCTGTTTAGGAAAGGCATTAATAAGTTACTGCACAAAAAAAAATTAAATAAAATTTGACATATTGGCACTTATAAAATTTAATAATAAACCAAATCATTCTGTAAGGCACGTCAGCATTGGGCGTTTCTCGTCCTATCAGCGAAGTTAAGCAATATACATACATAAGGGGGATTACCAATGGACCCCTGGCTGTCTTCAAGAAGGCACTGGACAGGCACCGGAAGTCAGTACCTCACCACCCGGGCTGTGATTCGTACGTCAGTTTGCGTGTGGCCAACAGTAACAGCCTGGTTGATCAGACCCTGATCCACCACTAAGCCTGGTCTCAGACCTAGCCGCGGGGGCGTTGATCCCCAAAACCCTCTCCAGGTAACACTGGGTTTGGTTAGTACTTGGATGGGTGGCCACTTGTGAACACAAAATACTGTTAGCATCATTCTTTGAAGGGCCTCAATGGAAATAAGTTACGTTTTTGGGTTATCTTAGGTAATTTACGCTATGATAATTGCATTTTTGTGTACCTGTACCTAGTTAAACTTACCTTGAAGCTGATCAGGAGAGATGTTCTCAAGATATCACTTGGGAACCCACATAACACTTTGTCTTGTAAAACTGGCCAACTGGCATGTACACAGTCCACTAACACCCTGACTCTTCTTCTCAGTATGGTTTAGCGCTTCTTTTTGATAATAATAATAATTCTTAGTAAGATACACCAGCATCCAGAGTTTGGAGCCAACCAGAAGAGGTTTACTCACGTTATCTCACTTAAACATTGGAGGGGCCAAACAAAAAATCCACAATAGAGTAACCCTTTCTCTCACATGGCAGTGACCTACATAATAAGTGCAGGAAACAAGCCTCGCTGCAGTATAATCACAAACACATTTTTATTAAAAAACTTATCTGTAAACAGGTGGAAAGTGCAGAAACTAGATAAAGGAGGCAGGAGAGTTCTGCTTTTTTCCATTTTGTCTTCAAATATTTTAAAATGGAATAAATCATAAAAAAATGTTATACATAATTTTTTTTTATCACACTGGCCGATTCCCACCAAGGCAGGGTGGCCCGAAAAAGAAAAACTTTCACCATCATTCACTCCATCACTGTCTTGCCAGAAGGGTGCTTTACACTACAGTTTTTAAACTGCAACATTAACACCCCTCCTTCAGAGTGCAGGCACTGTACTTCCCATCTCCAGGACTCAAGTCCGGCCTGCCGGTTTCCCTGAACCCCTTCATAAATGTTACTTTGCTCACACTCCAACAGCACGTCAAGTATTAAAAACCATTTGTCTCCATTCACTCCTATGAAACACGCTCACGCATGCCTGCTGGAAGTCCAAGCCCCTCGCACACAAAACCTCCTTTACCCCCTCCCTCCAACCTTTCCTAGGCCGACCCCTACCCCGCCTTCCTTCCACTACAGACTGATACACTCTTGAAGTCATTCTGTTTCGCTCCATTCTCTCTACATGTCCGAACCACCTCAACAACCCTTCCTCAGCCCTCTGGACAACAGTTTTGGTAATCCCGCACCTCCTCCATAAAAGTGTAAAAGAGCTATTAAATAGCACAGGCAAATTCACATAGAGAAAATACAACAAGAAATAAAATTAATACCATATATGATAGCTTAACACTGGGGTCCCTTTCAGTTTCAACCCGATCCTCCTGTCCCATTTTATTTTATCCAGTTACATAAACTTGCAACATGAATTACAACATTATTACCGTTACATTAATGATAAATCCCAAATACAGGAGAAGGGAGGAGGATGGTAATGTTTAAATAGTGTAAGAGTGAGTATTGATCTAAAATATGTGATGCCAGGCGCATGCTCTGCCACACACATGTAAACACACACAGCTGATAGTTCAACCTACACACCTGCTACAACACATTTATGTGGCTCCTGTCTCTTGTTTAACCGGTGTATTGTAGCTCCTGGCACCTCTGTGGGTCCGGTGGTGTTATAAGAGTGCCCCAGACATTTAACATTATCATCCAACGTCCAAAAACTGAAGTTGCGAGTATTAATGTGGCTCTGAAAAAAGTTTTTTGTACCTGGTTTTTGATACTGGAGTGTTTTAGTGGTCTTAAAATTTTAATTCGAGTTACTTAGGTGGTAAATAAGTGTCAAGTGAAATATGTAATGAAAAAATTGTGATATAAGTTTAATTCAGAAATTTGCTGGAAAGCTGTGAAGTAGGAAATTAACGGCAGGTTATTAGTGTGTGTTATCCACACTGCTGGAGGTGGATCTTGGTGGATCACCTTGAAGATCTTTGTGGATCAGCTTGAAGATCTTGGTGGATCAACTTGAAGATCTTGGTGGATCAGCTTGAAGACCTTGGTGGATCAGCTTGAAGACCTTGGTGGATCAGCTTGAAGACCTTGGTGGATCACCTTGAAGACCTTGGTGGATCACCTTGAAGACCTTGGTGGATCACCTTGAAGACCTTGGTGGATCACCTTGAAGACCTTGGTGGATCACCTTGAAGACCTTGGTGGATCACCTTGAAGACCTTGGTGGATCACCTTGAAGACCTTGGTGGATCACCTTGAAGACCTTGGTGGATCACCTTGAAGACCTTCATAACGGGCAGATCAGCTTGAAAGATCCTGAAGATCTTAAACAGTCTTAATTCGAAGATCTTGATCGCAGGAAGATCGACCTAGAGATCTTGGTCGCGGGTAAAGGGGCTTGAAGACCTAGTTTTTCTAAAGCCACCGCGCTGAAGATCGAGGTGGAGGCCGATGCCAGAATGCGACAGCAGAATGTTCGGACGCTGTCACTGGTTGTTTGTACGTTCACCTACCTTCTGATCGGTGCCGCAGTGTTCGATGCTCTCGAGTCTGACACCGAGGCCGAGAGACTACAGATTATTGAATGTTAGATCCTATGTGCCAAGTTTTAATTAAGTTGTTGCTTGAAATGTGTTTTTTTTTTTTTTGCCTGCAGTTTTTATGGATATAAGCAGCTTGAGTGCTTATAAGGATCGCTTGTGTCGACTATCTACTAATTGCATGTTACTCTAAATTTTGTAAAATTAGCTAATATATGAAGTCATGGTTGATTTTAAGGTATAATGGAGATTTTGTTTGCCCCACCAGAATGCATTAATGAATATTCTAGTGCTTTTGGTAAACAAAAGTTCTATATCTGAATGTGGGTTTTTTTGGCATATATCTTTTAGTACTGATAAACCCGGTAATAGATTACTTTATAAAAGCCTTTTGACAGTCTATCATGTTCATTTAACTATCCTCATTAAATGATCATAAAATCAGTGTTTTCTATACTACTAGAAGTTGAATTAATAATGGGTCGTAATCACATGCCTGAGCGTAATTATTTTACCTATTACAATATATTTCAGAGTACAGTCTCATCAAATTGTTAATTATCTAGGTAATGCAGGATGTGGATACAATCTTAACATTTCGGATATCTTAAAATTATCAACAATATCGATTAAAAAACATATATAATGAGGACTTATAATGAGGAGATTTTCAATTTGCTGTAGGGTTTATTAAGATCTATCGGTAAAGGGTAGATTTTTCTAACATTTTCTTATGGTGTCCATGTTCTGGTACATATACTTTACATTACACATAATTAACATCATACCAACTGCCAGAGATACTTATAAACTGACCTTGGAAATAAATGGTATAAAATACCGACACAGTGGAAATATAAACACATATGCAGTTTAATGTGATCCTTTATTGTGTGGGCGAAACGTTGTCAATAAAGGATCACATTAAACTGCATATGTGTTTATATTTCCATAAACTAACCTCAGAAGCTGTAACATCTCATAGTCTACTCATCTTGTTAATTTCTCCATAAACATGTTCTGCTTGAATAATTTCATTATGAACTCCAGTGACTGTGTAACTTCTTATATTCACTCCTCTAGATTCTCCAAACTCATTTTTTAGTTCTTTTCTGATAAAACTTTTCAAACTTGACAAGTCAAAATTATATTCAGCATTCTCTGTATTGTTAGTTTAGCCACTAGATCAACTTTATGGTGTTCACAGAGACGCATGTGAGAGGGACTCAACTAAAGTTTGACTTAAATCGTCTTCTCAATATTTCATGCATTAATGTCTTGCTTCGGAAACTAGCATGACCTAGCATGTTACATTCAGATCTAGGACTATCTAGCGCTAGCCATAAGGATAATCTGTGATGTGACTCATTTTGTAAATTATGTATGTGCTCGAGATTACTGAATTTAGCAGTGTTGAATATGATAATTCTATGCGATCTGTTTTCTTTTAAAATGGGATGGGGGGGGGGTAGCAAGGTGATGTCATGGAAGCGTTTAGTTCCTGTAAATAATTTATTGAATGTGGATATTATTTGAATGCATTTTGATTCCCTCGTTTTGTCGTGTTTAACACTTCTCATGAGAGACAAGTGTCATGACCGCCATGCAGAAACTTCAGTCCTGTCATGGGATATATTTAGCATGTTCTATTATTTACGTTACATACGCTTAATTTTCCCCTCACTAAATATTTTAACAGTTATGGAAGGATCAAATATAACTCAAGGCTTTATTTCTTATATATTCTTTTCAAATTAAGCAATATCTTTAGTGTTTTAAAGACTTGAAGCAGTTGCATGGTGATCTATCAGCATACTGCAATTAGGATGTTACTCAGTGAGTAACATCCATGTTTTACTACAATCCTGAGAGCTTTCAATCTGTTTTACTTTGTTATTTTATTCTTTGCACAGCTGTTAGAGTAAACAGGTCTGTGATCTCCATATATTATTAAAAATAATACCAGTAGACCTGGTGATAACTTGGGTTTTGGTGGCCTACTTTTACGGTTCTCAGTGCGCCTTTACACGCCTTATTTCTTATAATAATAATAGTAATAAAAATAAGAGTGATAATAAAATATTATTACTATTAATACTCATGGGGAAACGCTAAATCTGTAGGGTTCATACAATGCCTGGGGAATGGGAGTCAGTCAGATTTGATCTAAGGAAGAAAAAAATCCAGTTTCTTGGATCAGCTATTTTTCACTGTCCCCTTCAAGGGCTTTTTTCCCCCTTAATATATAACATAGCCAGTACCATCACTGTCTATATATAAATAGAAGGGCTTGCCAATTCGCTGAAAATTTGACATATTTATATACAAGATAAAAATAACAGCACAACTGTCATGCGATTATCTGGAATTGTTTTCAGTAGGGCGTTGATTGGCATAATAAACAATGTGGGACTCAGTACACCGCCTTGAGAATTGCTAAGTGGCATTTTTTAGTTGGTTGGTCATTAAGGCTAAAGTCACCTGTTCCCCACCAATCAAAAATGAGTTAGTTCTTAAAGTAGGTATTATCAACGTTAATTTCTCAGTATATATACAGTGAGAGATATACATTTCATGGTGCATATATAGCCTATGTATTTCCTCATTCCATTTATATACCCGTGAAACACTGTAACGAACTATCTGTCAGTATGGTAGCCAAGGACACAGTGTAACAGTAGGCCACCAATATATGCTTTATCTAGTTCACATTAATGCCTTTTTGTAATCCTAATGTACAGTCAGAAGAGTTGTGGTATAATAATGTGTATTTTTAACATGAGTGAATGCACTAATATTTGGTACCATGTTTATAGTTTGTGTATTAGCCTGCTGAGTACCATTCCTCTCGAGTAGTTTACACAGGCAGCTAGTTACCGAGATGCGGCAAAAAATATCAAGGTGGTTAGAGTTTGACGTTGGTATTATAATACAACTCGTGGTTCACGACCTGTGAAATTGTGTGTTTCTAACAGCGGGTTACCAAGTACACATCTGTGTACTGGTTGTAGCTGGCAAATGGGGTTTCAAGCCTATCAACTACACTATGGTCATCGAGGCTGCACATTAACCTTTCCACCAGCAGTCAAGAATACTTTATTCTCTACAATAGGGATCAAAGTCAACTCAGTATATATATTCTGATAGAATCGGACTTCGGTGCATGTATCCTTTGATCTATGTACTGGTTGGTTAATTAATGGGGTTTTAAGCTTATTTATTGACCGCACGAGGGAAGACTACACTAATCTGTCCACTACCAGGCAAGAATACTTTGTTTCCTAAAACAGAGAGTATTTACAAAAGCAGCATATATACCCTGAGAGAAATACATCCCTCAGAGTATAAATCCTGTGTTATGTAGTAAAGATTTAATAGGTGATACCGTCCTCTCACATATTTACTTTACACTATGGTTCTAAGGGGAAAAATAAACGCAATAAGCATACAATAATGATACACTATGTAGACTTAACCAGCGATAACACCTGTAAGTTGAGCGTCATGAATGTAATAATGTAATTACCTTGATATCAGACGTGCGGCAACATCTACAAGGGAAGTACAACATCAGTGGATCAGAGTACAAGTTAATAGAGACGGTGATCATAGAGAATCAGCCACACAAGGCAGGACCGCAGTGGAAGTTCGCAGGAGCTCTCTACTTCGTCACTGTGGTGGTCGCCATGATCGGTAAGATCATTTGCTTATAATTATTATCATTAGGTCCACAGCTTCAGGGGATGTACCTTGATGCCTGTAAATGGCTTTCTGTCCAGTGAATTGCGGGTAATATCACAATTGGAAGAAATATGATTACCTCCCAATTTACCAGACATTGTATGACCCCTACTTGTTTAGCTCCTCCCCTTGAATATAATAATTAGATAACGCAGTGTGTCTTGCATATTTTTGTATGACAATATCATTAAGTTTTGTCTAACGAAATAACTATGTGTGAAGGTTATGGTCACTCTACGCCTGAGACGGTGGGAGGAAAGGCCTTCTGCATAGTGTATGCTGTGGTGGGGATCCCGCTCGGCATGGTCATGTTCCAGTCCATAGGTGAACGTCTCAACAAATGCACCTCCATCATCATCAAAAAGGTGTGTAAGAAGTTCTGAATATTCTTTTACCTTGAACCTAGCATTTGAATATTTCCAGCTGGTGTGGAGTTTTCTGCAGTATACCCTCCTAATAATTACGTTTCAGTTTCGTTGCAAACGCCTACAGCAGTTTACATATGCTATATAGGTTAAGTCAGGTTAGCGTCACTTAGCCAAATTTATCCGACTATACCAAACATTAAGAGGAAACACATATACAAAGAAGTATGGCAACCAGCAGGACTTGAACCCAAACCTGTCAGGTCTTGAATGTAGATAGCTGACTAACTGACGCCTTAAACTACTCAACTATAAATGTTTCATAACGTCAGGAAACGTAGAAGACTGTAACTCATGTTTCTCATAACACTGAACACACCAGTGAGCTTCAAGCAGTAGTTACAGTACTCTGGTTAATCTGTCATAGTAAAGGCTGCAATCACTGGAATATAATAGATTAAACACCGAAGTCGGGACACCACAAACATAACCTCTTCATTACCTTCCCCGACACGGGTGAAACGTTGGACGTTTCCTTACATCTACTGCCCCTGCTCACCTAACAGTAGGTAGGTACACGTAACTAGTTGTTAGCAGACAGTTATGTGCTTGCTTCCTGGGAGACAATTTAAGTTGCCTGAATTGTTCTGCTTAATCAGATTCGTTTTATATTATGATGTTAGCTAGGCCTCTATTAGTTGTAGAAATAAAGATTATTATTATTATTATTGACGGTAATTACACTTACTATCCACTCTATTGAAGACGAGTGTTTTGAGACAGATGAAGAAGATGCTGGGGTGTGCTACTACTGAGGCCACGGATGTGAACCAGCTGTGTGTGACAGGGACACTCTCCTCCATCGTCATGACTGCCGGAGCTGCTGTCTTCTCCCACTACGAGAACTGGAACTACATCGACGCCTTCTACTACTGCTTCATCACGCTCACCACCATCGGTTTCGGCGACTTCGTAGCCCTCCAGGTACACTAGATGCCAGAGCAAAGTAACATGTATAACGCATGAGCCTAAAGACAGAAACATGGCATCTTCAATAACTTAGGGTTAAGATTATCTCATCTTCTAATGGAATATATACAGTGGCATTCTGTTAGTTCAGCATCGGTTGCAACCAGGGTTCCCTATAACTAATCAAAATTCGGTCTGCTGTCAAGCAGTACCCGACATAGATTGGCAGAGCCGATTAATACACTCATTAAATGAGAAACAATGTTGACACCAAACTAACGGATCCTCATTATCTCCTTGCAGAAGGACAATGCCCTCACCACCAAGCCGGGATATGTGGCTCTCTCCCTAGTGTTCATTCTCTTTGGCCTCACCGTCGTCGCCGCTTCCATCAACCTTCTTGTCCTCCGCTTCATGACAATGTGAGTCACACCTCATTATTCCTTTGAAAAGGCCTGTTAGGGACAGACGAAGCTACAAAGTCGCTTGAGTTTAAATAGTTATGACTGTAGTATTTCTTAAAATCTTTCCTCTTACCCAATAACCTTTTCTCTTGCATCAACACATCCTGTGCGAGGATTTGCAGTTTGGTTCTCATTCCACACTTGACCCATGGTCACCTGCTTCTCTCTGTGCAACTTGTGGTGTGCTGTTGCTTATGATATTTTAACGGTCTGCTCGCAGTTTCGACCTTTTAGATTCAGATATGGTTGTTAATTGTCTCGGGGTAACTAGAGACTTTGAGGAACTGTTCGAGGACTTTTAGTTATGTATATTTGATGTTTTTATGAGTCAACTGAGGAAAATTTAACTTTGTTAGGATGTGCTTATTGGTATATCTTGTGACAGTGTTAATGATTGTACTCAGCATGTGTTATTGTTGTATGTGTACAGTATATGTGAGTGTGAGATCCAGTGTTTTTAAATCTGATCATTGTTTCCTTACTGTCACCTCAGGAACACTGAGGACGTGAAGGCTGGAGACTATGAGATGCAAGACGCCTCTCAGTCTGTCGTCACGCTGGATGGGGAACTGATGGCCATCAACGGGAAGCTTTTAGCAGGGACACATGACTCAGAGGTGGGAGAGGGTCGTGTTGGGTCCTTCACTAGCGTGGCTACCGTCTGCTCGTGTACCTGCTACCCAAGACCACACCATAGTCCCACTGACACCCACCGATACTCCGTCGTCAGGTGCGTCACTTACCTACCCTCACACACTCGAACACATCAAAAATATGAGGAAGGATTTCTTTAGTCTCAGGTTGGTAGAAAAGTGGAATAACTTGGATGAAACAGTGGTGGAGGCATACTCAATACACAGCTTCAGGAGTAGCTATAAGGCCCAAGAGGCCAGAGATCAATGACACCAATCAAAGTAATTAAGAGGCGAAGCCAGAACCCGAATCTCGCGACTTCCACAAGCTCAGTTCGGCGAGTACATTTAGAACAGTCCCACATATACCCATTATAAGGGGGAATATCGAGAGCAAGAGAAAGGTTTAGAGTGGGAGAGGAGAGTAAATGAATAAATGGGTAAAACAAAACAAAAAATGAGAACAAATTAAATTTTGGGAAGAGATAAATTATGGTGAGAAATATGCAGTGAAGAATGGACTTGCTTATTAATAGTGAAGTTATGCACTGGTGGACACGGAGGTACAAGGAGAGAGAGCCTTTAACATCTTTTTATTGTAGATAACATAGAGGAATACATTTCTTTCCACTGATTTTAGCTTCTGCTTCCCACACAGGTCGCCCCACTAACGTTAACCTTTTGTCTTCCCGTACAGGTCACCATCAAGGATCTCCAACTTGCTGCTGGAGCAGGGTCCTGGAGGCAGCAAAGCCGCCCCTCATCACAGTGATCAGTTCCCACCTCTCCTTCACGACTCCTTCATGGTCGCTAACTATCTCAAGACCAAGCGATCCTCCGTCTGAGTTAGTCTGATAATTTATTATACACCTCGTATCCATCTGTGGATGGTTTCCACCCCATAAGCATCCCGTGGACGGTAGTCAAAATATTACGGAGATACAAAATGGGTCCAGCGGTTGGGTCTCGGCCCCTGTGAACCACGCAGAGACTTTTTAATATTATATACAACAGCAGTGTACTTCTACCCTATTTTGTATACATTTATTATATATGATAGTACATTGTGGAAGCACCCGCAGTGTGCGGCTACATTAACACAGACAGCAGCAGGTACAGCAACACACAGTAGCAGATACAGCAACACACAGTAGCAGGTACAGCAACACACAGTAGCAGGTACAGCAACACACAGTAGCAGGTACAGCAACACACAGTAGCAGGTACAGCAACACACAGTAGCAGATACAGCAACACACAGTAGCAGGTACAGCAACACAGTAGCAGGTACAGCAACACACAGTAGCAGGTACAGCAACACACAGTAGCAGGTACAGCAACACACAGTAGCAGGTACAGCATACTCAGTATGATAATTCCATTGTAAAAACAGAAAGGTTTCCATGACTCACGGGCGGGATTTGAACCCGCGATCAGTCTCAAAACTCCAGACCGTCGCGACGGTCTGGAATTTTGAGACACTCTGACCGCGGGTTCAAATCCAGCCCGTGGTATGGGTTTTTTTTCAGAAATGTTTCCCCTCATATTTCATCACATACGATGAGTTAAATACATAAGGCGATGAAATCTTTAAAGAACAAACTGTGAGATTTCAGCAGACGATGAAGATACAGTCATTTATTCCACTGTGACCCTAACAACAACGTACGAACATGGATTAATGTCGAGTAAGGAGGTGTAGGGCCCAGAGGGCTACAGAGGTGACCTATAATGATATAAAAAAAATTGAAATGACCAAAATTAGCATTAATTAGCATTAATGTTACTGCTTGCATCAGTATTGCCGGAAGTGATTTCTATACTGGAAGCAATTAGCAACAGTATTACCAGAAGGAAGTATTAATGTAACTCAACAGTATTACCAGAAGCAAATATTACATTTTAACAACAGCATTGACAGAGATAGTCATTGTATTTTGACAGCAAAGATGGTAATAATGTCAAGGTTATGATGGCCCGGTGGCCTGGTGGCTAAAGCTTCCGCTTCACACACGGAGGGCCCGGGTTCGATTCCCGGCGGGTGGAAACATTCGACACGTTTCCTTACACCTGTTGTCCTGTTCACCTAGCAGCAAATAGGTACCTGGGTGTTAGTCGACTGGTGTGGGTCGCATCCTGGGGGACAAGATTAAGGACCCCAATGGAAATAAGTTAGACAGTCCTCGATGACGCACTGACTTTCTTGGGTTATCCTGGGTGGCTAACCCTCCGGGGTTAAAAATCCGAACGAAATCTTATCTTATCTGACAGCTCCGCTGTGATGCTGCTGACAGTGACATAAGGAATACCAGAATTTAAAAAAAATGGCATAATTTTTAAAGGGGTGGACGGGTAAGCCAGCAGAAGGCCTCGGTCAGATGTCCATAAGTTCCAAAGGCGGGTCATCATATGACTAACAACAGCCTAAGCAGAAACTTTTAATATAAACCTTGACATATACAGTATTTCCACCATTATATTCACACCATCACAGGACATCACGTAGTTCAAGAATCTGAACAAATAAACATTATTATTATTATCATCATTATTATAAATTTTTCTAATTCCTAGCGTCAGGAGATTTTTTTTTTTATTTTTTAAAGTCGGGGAAAATTTTTTTCAATTTCTAACGTTATTTTTTTTAATTTCTAGTGTAGGGATATTTTTATAATTTTAGTAGAATATAATTTTCTAATTTACCTGATAAACAAACACCCCATTAAAACCTTTGTCTCATTAAAAACCATTTAAAGTCTAAAACCAGTGTACTGATTAAAAACTCACCACTCATTAAAACCCTAACAGTGTTATAGAACCCTACCCAGTGTTTAAATTAAACTAATTAAAACAATTTACAATGTGTAATGTTAGAACTATTTTTTCGAATTCATTCATCGAAGTTCAAATTTATGATCAAAGTGCCAAGTATTATGTTTTAACATGAACGAAGTGTTTCCTCAAGTGGGTCCAAGATGCAAATAATCACTCCCATTTAAGTTTATACAGGTAACACAAATACAGATTTATCATACATAGATTATCATACATAGCACATCAAATAAGATTATCATACATAGCAGCAAAATACAGATTATCATACATAGCAGACAAATACAGTTAATTATCAACATAGATTATCATCATACAGCACAAAATGACAGATTATCATACATAGATTATCATACATAGCAGCACAAATACAGATTATCATACATAGATTATCATACATAGCAGCACAAATACAGATTATCATACATAGCACAAATACAGATTATCATACAAAGCAGGACAAATAACAGATATCATACATAGATACATACATAGCACACAAATACTAATTATCAACAATAATTATCATATCATAGCAGCACAAATACAGTTATCATAATACATGCACAAAAACAGATTATCATACATGATTATCATACATAGCAGCACAAATACAGATTATCATACATAGATTATCATACATAGCAGCACAAATACAGATTATCATACATAGATTATCATACATAGCAGCACAAATACAGATTATCATACATAGCACAAATACAGATTATCATACATAGCAGCACAAATACAGATTATCATACATAGCAGCACAAATACAGATTATCATACATAGCACAAATACAGATTATCATACATAGCAGACAAATACAGATTATCATACATAGATTATCATACATAGCAGCACAAATACATATTATCATACATAGCAGGACAAATACAGATTATCATACATAGATTATCATACATAGCAGCACAAATACAGATTATCATACATAGCAGCACAAATACAGATTATCATACATAGATTATCATACATAGCAGCACAAATGCAGATTATCATACATAGATTATCATACATAGCAGCAAATGTGTAGAAAACCCAGGAAAAAAAAAAATCAGTGACTTATTTCCACTGGGATCCTTTAATTTTTTTTTTTCAACAAGTCGGTCGTCTCCCACCGAGGCAGGGTGACCCAAAAAAGAAAGAAAATGCCCAAAAAGAAAATACTTCCATCATCATTCAACACTTTCACCACACTCGCACATTATCACTGTTTTTGCAGAGGTGCTCAGAATACAACAGTCTAGAAGCATACACATATAAAGATACACAACATATCCCTCCAAACTGCCAATATCCCAAACCCCTCCTTTAAAGTGCAGGCATTGTACTTCCCATTTCCAGGACTCAAGTCCGACTATATGAAAATAACCGGTTTCCCTGAATCCCTTCACTAAATATTACCCTGCTCACACTCCAACAGATCGTCAGGTCCCAAGTACCTTTCGTCTCCATTCACTCCTATCTAACACGCTCACGCACGCTTGCGGGAAGTCCAAGCCCCTTGCCCACAAAACCTCCTTTACCCCCTCTCTCCAACCCTTTCGAGGACGACCCCTACCCCGCCTTCCTTCCCCTATAGATTTATATGCTTTCCATGTCATTCTACTTTGATCCATTCTCTCTAAATGACCAAACCACCTCAACAACCCCTCTTCTGCCCTCTGACTAATACTTTTATTAACTCCACACCTTTTCCTAATTTCCACACTCCGAATTTTCTGCATAATATTTACACCACACATTGCCCTTAAACAGGACATCTCCACTGCCTCCAACCGTCTCCTTGCTGCTGCATTTACCACCCAAGCTTCACACCCATATAAGAGTGTTGGTACTACTATACTTTCATACATTCCCTTCTTTGCCTCCATAGATAACGTTTTTTGACTCCACATATACCTCAACGCACCACTCACCTTTTTTCCCTCATCAATTCTATGATTAACCTCATCCTTCATAAATCCATCCGCCGACACGTCAACTCCCAAGTATCTGAAAACATTCACTTCTTCCATACTCCTCCTCCCCAATTTGATATCCAATTTTCTTTATCTAAATCATTTGACACCCTCATTACCTTACTCTTTTCTATGTTCACTTTCAACTTTCTACCTTACACACATTCCCAAACTCATCCACTAACCTTCGCAATTTTTCTTTAGAATCTCCCATAAGCACAGTATCATCAGCAAAAAGTAACTGTGTCAATTCCCATTTTGAATTTGATTCCCCAAAATTTAATCCCATCCCTCTCCCCGAACACCCTAGCATTTACTTCCTTTACAACCCCATCTATAAATATATTAAACAACCATGGTGACCATTACAACATCCTGTCAAAGACCTACTTTTTACCGGGAACTATCTCCCTCTCTTCTACCACACCCTAACCTGAGCCTCACTATCCCTCATAAAAACTCTTTACAGCATTTAATAACTTACCACCTATTCCATAAACTTGCAACATTTTGCCACATTAACTCCCCTATCCATTTCTATCATATGCCTTTCTACATCCATAAATGCAATTTAAAAACTTCCATACTTTATCTAAATACAGTTCACATATTATGCTTCAATGTAAACACTTGATCACACATCCCTACACACTCTGAAACTCCTTGCTCACCGAAAATCCTACATATATAAATATATATAAAAATATATATAAAATATATAAAAATATATTTCACGTTAGCAATATTTTTTCCATTTTTTTCATTCGGTTAGAATGAACAGTTGCGTTTTTTTGCACTAATATATTTTGGCCACTAAATTCTTTCATTTTTAAGGCATAATTAATGTGCTAATTACACACAAACAGTAATAAACGATTTATTTAGTAAGTCATTACACCTACGACCAGTTAGAAGAATTTGTCAGGTCAGTAAGTAGTATTTTATTCTGGACACGACATATCCAGTGCCTTCTCTCATGTACTGAAATTAGTTAAGAAATTAACACTCGTAGAACGGTATTTAAAGGTTGGAATCACCTGATGATTCGCCTCCACCTTAAAGCGCCATCATCTGTATGGCTCCTACTGTTAGTGGGGTTTAAAGCCTGTCGACTACACTAGGGTCATTAAGGCTGCACGTAATTCATCCACCATTACAGAAAAATACGTTAATCCTTCAAATACGAATTAACTCTCAGCATATATACGCTGAGAAATATACCTCTCAGTGTGTAAATACTGCCGGCAAAGTGCTCTTGATCCAAGGAACTTTTTCCCTTGGATCAAAATATGCTTTCCACTTATCAAGGCGCTGTATAATCCACCCAGGTGAGATATATATATATATATACATATTATATTATATATATATATATATATATAATATATATATATATATATATATATATATATATATTATATAATATATATATATATATATAATATATAACCTAACTTACTACACTAACCTTACCTTGCATATCCACATTTAACTTTTTTCCTTGGTCAAGGTGTAGGCGAAGACTCAGGTGAGGCAAACAAGGCAGGTTGTTCCAGGTCGACTAGATGAGTGACGTTGGTGGGTTTCCTTGTTTGTTTCATTAGTAGATAACTGGTGAGGTGGTAGTTACATTGATTAATGAGGTGACAGTTATATTGATTGATGAGGTGATGCTGTTAGTGATTGAGGTGACAGTTACAGTGAGTGATAAGGTTATACAGTTAGTGACTGAGGTGACAGTTACAGTGATTGATAAGGTTATACAGTTAGTGACTGAGGTGACAGTTACAGTGATTGATAAGGTGATACAGTTAGTGACTGAGGTCACAGTTAAGTGATTGATAAGGTGATAAGTTAGTGACTGGAGGTCCAGTTACAGTGATTGATAAGGTATATCAGTTAGTGACTGAGGTCACAGTTACAGTGATTGATAAGGTGATACTATAACAGTGATACAGTTACAGTTGACCCATTACAACTGTTCATAATATTGATCATCTACGCCTCTATATAGCCCCGGCAGATCCATCATATATATTTTTCTATAATATTCTTAGAATGTGTTGACACAATGTAATATTTTTGCATCAGACGAAACAGTATTATTCCCAAACAAATCATTTTTCAAAATTTCTAATTTCCATTTTATTGATATTGAAAGTGAACCTTATTAATAAAAGATATATATTTCGGCCTTATTCACAGACCCTCTTCAGCTAGTAAATAAATATACAGCGATCTTTTCATTTTTTTTATATATATTTTGGTCTCGGTAATTTTTGACTTTACATCAAGCAGTCTTTATAACATTTAACGAAATATAATCATGAAAATTTGTAGTTGGGTTAGGAAGTTAAACTACATTATTTAACGTGTATTATGCTAGGCTAGTTTAGGTACGAAAAAGAAAATAATACGAGTACATGTATATCTCACTGTTTTACTCTGGGAGAAGTAGTAATATTGATGGTGTTAGAGTTTCTAACATACAACCAATGATAACACTGAGAGGTGTGTATCAGTGTATATACACTGAGAGGTGTGTATCAGTGTATATACACTGAGAGGTGTGTATCAGTGTATATACACTGAGAGGTGTGTATCTCTCAGTGAATATACACTGAGAGGTGTGTATCTTTCAGTGTATATACACTGAGAGGTGTGTATCAGTGTATATACAGTGAGAAGTGTGTATCTCTCAGTGTATATACACTGAGAGGTGTTTATCTCT